CTGCTGAAAATTTAACCATATCAGGGCCATCAAATGTATCTTCATAGATAGCCTCTCTTACACCCAGTTCGCGGATATAATTCTGAAGGTCCTCCATGGAGGACCACATGCCTGTATGTAAAGGTATGTCTGATTTATTCGGCCATACCATACAGCAGGCCGCCATTAACCATTCTAGTATAGAATGGTTTTCATCACGATATTGATTACCCACGTATAACCTCTGTCTGAGAGCAGGATGGACAGTCATGGTGGCCAACTTAGCTATTTCTGGGCCATTCACCAAGACACTTTCTGCCCCAGAATCCCATAGTCTCAATAACCAAGCCGGCACACTTTCTCTAGGCTTCTGCCGAAATCGCTGTACTAAGTCCATCAATTCTGTTGCCGTGTATGGCCGAGCCGTTAGGTGTAAATGAGTCTGGGCAGGGGGCCATTGATCAGGCGGCACCCCTGCTGGTCTGTCCTGTACTTTTTTTGTTTTCTGGGTTATGACAGGACAGACTTCCAGTGGAACGGCCACAATTGAACATTCAAGGTCTGATTTGGATTTCTTGTTCTCCTGATCAACGAAGTCTGTTGATTCAGGAGTCTGGTCATCATTTATTGAAACGTTACGAATTTGGCCTACGGGAAGATGTAGAATTGGCTTCTTCCCTGTTAAAACGCCAAGTTCGTGCTCCAGCTTTTCAATGCGGTCTTTCAAAAGCTGATTTTCAGTTTCTAAAGTATTAGTTCTTATATCCGCATGATTTAAGGCACTTAATAATGGCCATGCCGCCATGGAGGCAGCCAGTTGTCTTTCTTTAGTAATGAGGACATCCTTGCCAAGTCCTTGAAAATAGTCCGCCATGCGATATGGGGAGATATTGCCCATAACGCGTAAGGGACCCCATTTTTCAATGATGTGAGAATCCTTCTTTCCTTTTTTTTTTTTTTTGGCTCAAAGCTTGCTTCCTGAGGTATTTTGTTGAGGAGGCAAGTGATGGATGTTGTGTGGCAATCAACATCGCTGTGTGGACAATTTTACATCTTTGGAGCTGTTTGCCTTCAGAAGATAGTGCTCAGGACTGTTTACTGGCGGAAGAACTAGCCTGTGACCAAATAACTCCTGTTTGCTATGGGAGGCTGGGGGATGATACCATTGTATCCTGCGAAGGCAAGATGCAAGTTGGTGCCTCCCTGCTTCCTCTTATCTGCTGGCAAGGCCAGGAAGATAAGAACAAAGGAGTTTCCTGCTGAGGCCCGAGAGTCAGAAGCTGCCACTCAAAGGAGAGCTGACTCAACCACTTTGGATTTGAGCTGTCACTCCAAAGACAGCTGACTCGACCACTTTGAAAGCATTGAAAAGGGGCCATCATCGCCATGGTCGTCGTCGTCGTCCTTCTCACCGTCGTCGTTGTCAACAGAACAACAATGCCTGACGACCCACCGCTACTGAAGATCAAAGACTGAACTACGAACCTCGCTGGATCCATGGTGGTGACTATGTCCCTCTTGCTGCCTATAATGACTCCTTGCTTCTTCTTTTCTATCTTTTCTATCGCCCTCCTTCCCTTCCCCCCATCACCCTAATTCATAACAGTGTCCGTCCTCCCCTTCCCCATTTCCCTAATTAAGATTTGTAATAAACTGGTCGGACCAACATTTGAACCGTTGCTTCTTAATCTCACACCGGGTATATAGATAATAAAAGAACCTCCTCTCCCTCCTATAAATTGGAGCGAGACAAATGATAGCAGCTAACTCATAATAGGGCGATCGCTCAAATCCTGGGATCTACCCTGGAATCATTTTCTCTAGAGGAGTATTGTTCTCCCCCTTGACTCATTTACAGAAATTCCAAAGAAAAGACATGATGTTAATTTTAGTATATTCGGCCTGCCTGGCTCGCCAAGTGTATAATCAATAGATATCAAGATGTTATAATCACAATATAATCAAGAGAGTTAGGCAAAGTAGACAACGATAACAAAAAGACAATAAGTGGAAGAGCTTACCCTTCGGCTGGGCTCACCACAAAACACCAAGAGAGGTGATCTCCAGAAGAGATCCTTCCCCTCTGGTAGCCAGCTCTTAAATAGGTCTAGGAGGGGTGGAGCCTGGCTCCACCCCTTCTGGCAGCACAGGTGAATTGCCTTCACCTGTGCTCCTCTGGCTGACTCATGGCTCACCTCAGGTGATCAATCGGAGGTTCAGGCTGTGACTCAGCAGTTCCCATACATTCCCTTAGAGTTCATTATTTACAGAGCTCTGGGATTTGTTGGGTTTTCTTAGGAACAAATCTGAACTCTGGGAAAGCAGTGTTTTCCTGTGAAATACCCTGGTTTGAATCACAGCTGTCACTGGAAGTAAACTAAAAGAAAAGTTAGCCCAGAAATCCAGATTGTTTTTAATTGTTGCTTTTAATAAAGACGATCTTACAGCCAGTGCCGTGAATCTTTTTAACTGGACTTGGAAATACTCCTGAACGTGAATTCTTTCTTTTTGTCACTGGTTTTGTAGCATGCCATTGTTACATTTGCCTTGGTATCATTCTGGGTTTTATGAATGTCTCCCATTTCTGAATTCGTACTTTTCATTGGGGAAATCCCCTCCCACCCTTTCCTTAGGTTTTCATTATATGGTGCACTTACTCAAGTGAAAGTACCTGATTATTTCTGCCAAGATTTTTCTCTCTGTCCCTTGAGAACTTTCAGCTGGGAGACAGAATTATACAAAACTCCCAAAGTGATGCAAATTTTTCCTCATACAGTAAGTCATTTTCTGTAGTGTCTTTCCTATATTGTTGTAACTCAGTGATTTTCAGTGACCAAACTTTTCTTATGCAAAATCTTTTTCAGGAGCAATAAGGAGATGTTTGAATTGCTTCAACTCCATGAACTGATTGAAGATCTTCAGAAAACGACAAACCCAGTTAACTCTGCCATCTGTGCCAACTTACATTCCATTCTGTCAAATCTAGGAGCAGAGCAGCACTTGTGCTGCCCCTGCAGACACAGCTCACTAGCAGCATCTGCCAAGCCAACTCTTGACCCTACCCTAGATTTTTCCCTATCTTGTCCCTGTCTCTGCCTGTCCCTCTCCTGTGCCCTTCCGTCCCCTGTCCCTGTGCTGTCCCTGCTCCAGGCCGCTGACAGAATCTCCTGGCAGCCTACCACAAAGTTGAAAGGAAATTGTAAGACAGAAGAACAGAAGTGTGATGAATGAGAGGGGAGGACAAAGAGGGCAGAACTGAAGAAAGGATACAGGTAAGAGGAGCAGAGCCGATGGGGGAGGGGAAAGAAGGAGATGGCAGGGGAGAATGGACAAGAGGGAAGAGCAGAAAGGCAGTGAAAACAGGATTTCTTCAAAAGAATTGTTTACAGCTTTCTTAAGAGACAGGATTTCTCATGATAAGATTGATGGTTTTCCACTTCCTGAATTACAGAGAACACATAAACACAGAAGGTTAAATAAACCCTAGCAGGAAGGTGCCAAATTCTAAAGCAAAAGACCAGGGAACAATTCCACCTACTGCACTCAATGGGACGTCTTACCTATTTGCAGAGCACCCGATGCGAGTGGTTTGGCTGTTGTGAGGGAGAAGGATTGGGAACCATACTCCAATTTGTATCCCTGGGAGGAGATATTTTGGAAAAACTGGTCCTCACAGTTTTTCCAAAACAACTGCAGAGCCTCAAACAACCCCGGAGCAGAGGCCTCCTTAGTATATGGGAACCCCGAGAAATCTGAAGGACAACCAGTAATAGGGTTGGAAGGGAAACAAATGCAACCTGTGAAACACAAATAGAAATGAAAACAGGAAACCTCTCGAAGTAACTGTATCCTGTCACAATTGTCCCTGTCCCAGAAAACATCATAGGGATAGGTATTCCAAAAGGACTCACCTTGAATCTTCGCAGCAGTCCGCACCAATTTGGAATAAATTGCATTAGTGGTCCGACAATTTTAGTGGGAAAAGTAAAAATGCCTGCTGTGCAGATTCCTTCTGCAACTGCAGTAGTGACAATGAAACAATACAGGACCCTGGGGGGGGGGGCATGAAGAGATATCCAGGACAATTAATGATTTATTGGATGCAGGAGTTTTAAGTCAACTACTACAGCTTGGAACAATCCAATATGGCCTGTCAAAAAGTGATGGGTCGTGGAGGGAATTAAATAAGCACACCCCACCTCTCACAGCGGCTGTAGCAGGTAACCATTGGTTTAAGATAAGAAGTTCAGAAACATTCCAGAAGTGGGTGTGCTGTAATTGATTTAGCTAGTGCATTTTCCACTATCCCAACTGCAGAGGAACATGGCAGAGGTGACAAGATACTTTCTGTAGATTGCCTCAGGGATGGCTGCACAGTCCAACCATTTGCCACAGAACAGTGGCTGAACATCTGCATGATTATAAATTCCCTCCTCACATGCAAATAGTCCGTTATACAGATTATATGTTATATCTTTGTGCACATAGGATCCCCGAGACACAAACTCCTGAATGCGTCTAGGACTAGGAGTGGATCCAGCTGTGCTGAGGAACCTTACCTCTGTGGTTTGAAGAGTTCACACAGCAATGGGCTTGGCTCTGATCCTCATGACACAGCAGGAGAGCATCCTCTAGGTGTGTGTGTAACCTTGCCCTCTATGTGGAAAATAACAAAGTGCATCCAGCCATCTCCAGTCTTGTTAAGTCACTGTTATATCTACTACAGCATATCTATGCTCATCAACAAATACGTTCCTGCTTCCCCCTTAGAAGTATATATTGTAGCTGTATCTGTTATAAATTGGTGAAGTCCGCATGATAGCAACTAGGGACACTATTACAAGATTCATGGAGTGAAAGCCACTCCCAAATTCTTATATAAATGGGCTCATGACACTGAGAGCCCATTATAATTGAGAAACAAGGGACCATCAGGAGCCATCAAGGATGAAAGGGAAAAAAGGTATTATCTGTTACATACGAAGTAAGGCAGAATGTAAATAAATGGAACAGAGAGCAGAAACAACAGCAAAGATTTTATTTTCATTATTATTTTTTTTAATAACCTACAGAAATTGATTTTGCTTGGGTTTGCATCAGGCACTCAGAACTATGCCACACGGTATGCAAAGGGGTGGATATGGAAATGAATTGTATTGCATAGCTACAAATCTGGGAGTCTCTACTTTTAGTGAGGAATCAGAATCACCACACATTTGAAGCCCAGAATCATCACAGAATCAAAGAATCTAGAACTGGGAAACAATCACAGGATCTGAAATAACAGAACTTGCACTCACAGGAGCTAGTATCCTCGTAGCATCCTCATACAATCCTCAGACTCTAGAATCCTAGACTCCAGTAACCCCATAATAACCCCACACATTTTGTTTCCTCACTCCCACAAAAGGAAGCTTTCTGTAGAGCATGCTCACAACTGATGCTATCAGTCAGCATCACCCAGCTTTATTCTAGTTATCTAGAATATCAAAGCACTGCCAGCTACAAGTGCTCAGAGGTTCTTTCTCAAAAGATGAATCTTAATACTGTTTTTCATTCTAATTTGGATATGGGCAGGAAACCGAGGTCCAGAATCTTTATGAAAGCAATCCCACTGTGCCCTTCACAAAACCACTCCCCTAAGACTGAGCACAGGGGCACAGCCGATGGCAGAATCAGCTCAAGGGGACACAGCACTTGAAACGCAGCGACAGCGAGAACGCCATCAGCGACAACCACAACCCCCAAGTCCATCGGACACAGTGCTGGAGGTCAGTGACAGCAACACTGCAACGATGACGCCAGGAGCTCCCTGTGGCTGCCAACACCACTCCGCTGGCGTTCCCCTCTCACAGCTCTCCGCGGATGTCAGGCAGCAGGTGGCAGCGGTGATGGTGGCCACGGCGGCAGACGCGGCGCGCAGGTCACGGCGCATCAGGCACAGGCAGCGCGTGGTAGCAACTGCCCCAGCTCGGGCTCAGCCCAGAGGCCCCCCCAGGCCTTCCAGCAGCCGCGCAGCTGCACTGAAACCACGTCCCAGCACCTCAGCCATCGCGCCCCACAGCCACCCCTCGTCCATCCCCAGCCACTGCTGCAGCAGTGAGGGGCCCCCCAGGGACACCCCTGGCAGCAGCACTTGGGCCGCACTATCCTCCTCCACCTCCTCGGTCTCCGACGCCTCCCCTGGAACCCTCAGCCCCGCTGTGGGGATCCCGGTCGCGCTCCCCCCCCCCCGGCTCCGGCTCTGAGTCATCTCCGAGGCCTCGCCCCGCACCAGCGTGAGGTAAAGAGGAGAGGCCACGGTCTGCGAGAGGGGAACAAAAGGGAGGAGGTGGAATTCGGGGGAAGAACGGCCCCATCAGGCACGGAGACCGCTGCCCCTTCTCCCGAGTCCCAGGGGAATACCCCGCAAAACAGGCCCGTGACCCCCCGGGCCCCGTGCCTTCTTCACCCCCTTCCCAGCCCCACGGGGCCCCCAGAACACGTCCTGCACCCGCAGCTCCAGCAGGACGCCTTGGATTCCCTTCCTGGCCCTGCGTGACTCCCGCGCCCCAATAACGCGACAGACCCACCGCCCAGCCCCGCGAGGACCTGTGTCTCCTCAGCCCCGTACAGCCGGCTCCCCTGGTCACGTGACGCACACCCTAGCTGCTGTCCGTCGCGCCGAATGGCGCCACGCCTCCGCACGCCTGTTACCCCGACTCACCTCACTCGGACCGCGCACGCGCGGTGCAGACACCCCGCGTAGCCTCATTCGCCTAATTGCCCCTCCGCCCAAGCCTTAAGTAACGGCCAGGGCAGCCAATTGGCTCCGCAGAGGCGAAGGGGCGGGCGGGGCTCTCCCGGAAGAAAGGTCGGAGGCGGGGCATGCTTATAACAGGCGGCGGCGGCAGCCAACGAAATGACGGAATAGTCAGGTATGGCCAACAGGAAAGGCAGGAGGCGGATCGTGCAGGAGGCCGTGCGGGGCTACCACCACAGCTTGCTAAAGCAAAGCTTCATTCTGATATTGCCCTTGGTGGTCTGTAACCTTAACACGCTAAAGGAGAAGCAGTACAGTCTTGTACTGCCTTAGGCCAAGCTTTCAATATTTATTATCAACAGCAAGATACAGCACAAGGTCCCAACTGAAACATGCAGCTTCATTTACGACTTAGCACCCAACTCGGCTCTTTCTGAACGCCTTGGCAACAAGCTGAGCTGCAAAAGGCATGCTGGGTGGGCTGCAAGAGCTGCAGAGCGACTCACTGACAGTGACCAACATTTCCTTCACAAGACTTCCTCCCTAATGAAGACTACTGATTATACAAAGGTAAAAACACGACCACCGTGAGACAAAACCCAGATCGAGAAGAACAAGTCAGCTGGCTGCATGCTTCCCAAACACTGCACTGCCATCACAACTAAATGGGAACTGAGAATCCAGACATTATTGTAACAAAAAAGTACAGAGATCTAGTGAGCTTCTGGATCTCACCAGTTTCTCTGAAAACAGAGTGGTGGAAGTGAGTAATACAAGTCCATATGTAAAACGTGTCTATGTAATTAAAGTATGTAATGCATGTTTCCTAAAGCACTATAAACTCACTGAGGTGCCAAGTCCTGCCTACTGTAGGCAAATCAGGAACAAAACAACCACAGAAAAATTAGTTACGCAACACCATATTATAATTGCTATTTCTCAGAAAGCCTCTTGCAGGTGATCAGAGTTTATTAGCTTAATCACAGAATCACAGAATCACAGAATCACCCGGGTTGGAAGGGACCTCAAGGATCATGTAGTTCCAACCCCCCTGCCTAGCAGGGCCACCAAACATACACATTCAGATCAGGTTGCCCAGGACCCCGTCCAACCTGGCCTTAAACACGTCCAAGGACGGGGCATCCACAACCTCCCTGGGCAGCCCGTTCCAGGGCCTAATCACTCTCCTAGTAAAGAACTTCCCCCTAACATCCAACCTAAATCTTCCCTCCTTCAACTTGGATCCATTTCCCCTAGTCCTGCTGTTGTCAGCCCTTTTGAAGAGTTTACTCCCCTCCTGGGTGTAGGTTCCCTTCAGGTATTGATAGGCTGCAATGAGGTCACCCTGCAGCCTTCTCTTCTCCAGGCTGAACAAGCCCAACTCCCTCAGCCTGTCCTGATAGGGGAGGTGCTCCAGCCCCCTGATCATCTTAGTCGCCCTCCTCTGGACCCTTTCCAAAATCTCAATGTCTTTCTTGTACTGAGGGCTCCACACCTGGACACAGTACTCCAGATGGGGCCTCACAAGAGCCGAGTAGAGAGGGACAATCACCTCCCTGTCCCTGCTGACCACCCCTCTCCTGATGGAGCCCAGGATCCCATTTGCCTTTTGAGCTGCCAGAGCGCACTGCTGGCTCATGTTCAGTCTCTCGTCCATCAGGACCCCCAGGTCCTTCTCTGCCGAGCTGCTCTCAAGGACCACTCCTCCCAGCCTGTACAGGTGCCTGGGGTTCCTCCGGCCCAAATGCAAAACCCTGCACTTTGCCGTGTTGAACCTCATTAGGTTCACCCGAGCCCAGCCCTCCAGCCTGTCGAGGTCCCTCTGAATGGCATCTCTTCCTTGCACCGTATCAACCGCACCACTCAGCTTGGTGTCGTCAGCAAACCTGCTGAGGGTGCACTCAATTCCCTCATCGATGTCATTAATAAAGATGTTAAAGAGCACTGGTCCCAAGACAGACCCTTGGGGGACACCACTTGTTACCAGCCTCCACCTGGACATAGAGCCATTGACCACCACCCTCTGTCTGCGGCCTTTCAACCAATTGCTTATCCATCGGGTCGTCCACCCATCAAATCCACTTCCCTCCAATTTGGAGATGAGGATGTGGTGGGGGACCATGTCAAAGGCCTTGCTCAGGTCCAGGTAAATGACATCGGTCGCCTTCCCTTTGTCCACCAATGCCGTCACTCCATCATAGAAGGCCACAAGATTAGTTAGGCATGACCTTCCTTTGGTGAAGCCGTGCTGGCTGTCTCGGATCACATGCTCATTCTTTATGTGACTGAGCATGTTGTCCAGGAGGATCTGTTCCATGATCTTCCCAGGCACAGAGGTGAGACTCACCGGCCTGTAGTTCCCTGGGTCCTCCCTGCTCCCTTTCTTGTATATGGGAGTGACGTGACCCTTCCTCCAGTTATCCAGGACCTCACCTGACAGCCACGACTTCTCAAATATGATGGAGAGCGGCTCGGCAACCACCTCAGCCAGCTCCTTCAGGACCCTGGGATGCACGCCATCCGGCCCCATAGACTTGTATTCATTCAGTCTAAGGAGGCACTCTTGGACTTGCTCTGCCCTTACAGTGGGGAGGGATTTACCTCCTTGGTCCCCACATAGAGGTTTGGTGATGCAGGGTTCAGGGACGTGAAAAAGACTAGAATCCTGGCCACCAGTGAAGACCGAGGTGAAGAACTCATTCAGCACCTCAGCTTTCTCTTCGTCTGTTGAAGCCAGTTCTCCTTTTAAATTTACCAAAGTAGGTACACCCGTTTTGGCCTGTCTCTTCTGGCCAATGTACCTGTAGAAGGTTTTCTTATTGTTTTTCACGTCCCTTGCCAAGTTCAGTTCTGCCTGCGCCTTGGCTTCCCTGATCCCACGTCTACAAGTCCGGACGGCATCCCTGTACTCTTCCCAGGTGACACAGCCTTGTTTCCAGACCTTGTACACCCCTTTCTTCGCACTCAGTTCTCTCAGCAGGTCCTTGCTGAGCCATGCCGGTTTCCTACCTCGCCTGCCCACTTTCTTATTCAGAGGAATGGAGACCTCTTGTGCTTCCAGGAGGGCATCTTTGAAGAGCCGCCAGCTCTCCTCAACATCCTTGTCTTTGAGGGCAGCGCGCCAGGGGATCTTGGCCAGCAATCCATTGAGTAGCTTGAAGTCTGCTTTTCTAAAGTTCAGTGTCCTGGTCCTGCTCTTTGCCAGGCCCACATCGCTTGAGATCACAAACTCAACCAGGGCGTGGTCGCTGGAGCCCAGGCAGCCTCCAACCTTGACGCCTTTGATGATCTCCTCGGCGTTGGTGAGCAGCAGGTCTAGCAACGCTTCACCTCTGGTCGGTCTGTCCAATACCTGAACCAGAAAGCTATCATCAATGGATTCCAAGAGCCTTCTGGAGCTCTTGCAGCTCGCCGTGTGGTTTTCCCAGCAGATGTCCGGATGGTTGAAGTCCCCCACCAGGACAAGAGCCCGTGAGCCAGACATCTCACGCATCTGGAGCAAGAAAGCCTCGTCAACAGCCTCCCCTTGATCAGGCGGTCTGTAGTATACCCCTAACACCAGCTGACCTATATTTGTCCCATCTCTAATCCTAACCCACAGGCTCTCAACCTGTTCCTGACTGCTTCTCATAGGGAGCTCCTCACAGTTTATCCAATCTCTGACATAGAGAGCAACTCCCCCACCCCTCCTACCTCGCCTACCTCTCCTAAAGAGTCTATAGCCGTCGATGGCAGTATCCCAATTGTGGGAGTCATCCCACCACGTTTCTGTGATAGCAACAAGGTCATAACTTACCGAGTGCATCACAGTTTCCAGTTCCTCCTGCTTGTTACTCAGGCTGTGTGCGTTGGTATAAAGGCACTTCAGCCGGGCTATCCGTCTCGCCACCTTTATAAGGGATCTAGGATCCCCTAGAACAGCAGCATCCCCAGCATCCCCCTGCCCTAGTCCTTCCCTATGCACTCTGCCGTCATTGCCCATGGAGTTTGGTATAAGCCCTCGAATGACCCGTTCAACCCCAGTAGCCCTTATTTTGTCCCCTTCCCCCTTCATTCCTAGTTTAAAGACCTGTCAATGAGTCCCGCTAATTCTTCAGCTAAGATCCTCTTACCCCCCAGGGACAGGCTGCACGCATCAGCAGCCATCATGCCAGGTGCACTGTAAATTGCCCCATGGTCAAAAAAGCCGAAATTCTTGCGCCTGCACCAGCTCTTAAGCCATCTATTGAAGAGTTGGGTATTTTGGATCCTCCCTGTACCTTTCCCTGACACCACGGGCATAGAAGAAAAGACCACCTGCACCCCAGCTCCTTCAAGTATTCGCCCCATTTCTCTGAAGTCTTTCTTGATAGACCTCAGGCTTTCCTTATCAACTTCCTCGCCGCCAGCCTGAATTACTAAAAGTGGGTAATAATCTGAAGGCCGAATCAACCCAGGAATTTTCTTTGAAATGTCCCTGACCCGTGCTCCAGGAAGGCAGCACACCTCTCTGCGGGTAGGGTCGGGCCGGCATATAGGGCCTTCTGTTCCTTGCAGAAGGGAGTCGCCTATGACAATCACCCTCCTGTCCTTACGGGTAGAAGCAGTCTTGAGGGTTGGGGGCGACCGCTTCGCCTGAGGCAACCTCACGGGTGAACCTGTCTCCACACTCTCACTCGTCCCCCCCTCAACTTCCAGGGCCTCAAACCTGTTACGCAGAGGCACCTGGGGAGCCGGGGATGGTCAGGATGGGGGATGCCCCCTCCGCCAAGCAGGTACCCATTTCCACTCCTCCTCCCTTCTCAAATTGCTGTTAGGGGGAAGAGAGGACAGGGGGCTTGCTGAAACGCTGTCAGCTGGCTGGTTCCCCTTTACCAGGTGTTTGTAAGGTGGCAGGGGCTGACGTGCTCCGTGAGGAGCCTCGTCTGTGTGCCGAGAACCTGAGGTTGAGAGGGACTGACACCACCAGTCAATCTCCCTCTCACACTCTTTTATAGTCCTCAGCCTCTCCACTTCCTCCTTCAGGCTAATCACAAGGCTGAGCAAGTCATTCAATTGCTCACACCTTGTACAAGTGCTGCCTCCTTCCTGTGGCATTGCAAAGGCCAGGCTGTGGCACTCCTCACAGCCAGTGACCTGCACACTAGCATCTCGTGATGTTATCTCTGTCTGAGTTGCCACACACTTCATACCATTGTTCTCCCCTCTATGCATGCACCAGACCTCAGTCTGGCTCTGGACCGTCTTCTTGGCTACTGTCTTTCTGCTGCGCGTGCTCGGGACCTCTGCATGGCTCTTCACAGTTTTTGTGTTTGAAGCCTTCTGCCGGGGTGCACCCATGGCTACCAGCAGGCTCACTAACTCAACAAGAAAGTCCTATAGGGGTGCAAATGATCAGCCCTGCCCTGCTGCCCCCTACCCTCACACTATTGCCGGGTTCGCTAAGTGCCCTGGCACTTACCACCAATAGCAATAACAAGACTCCTTGCAGGGGAGTGCAGACAGGGGTACCTTACAAAAGCACCACGTTAAGGCAGCCTGGGAGAGAGCTGTACTACCTCCTCTGCTGTGCCTCAGGTGGGCAGCAACGTGTCGCTGCCCTCTCGAGGGATGCCTAAGGAAGTTTCTTTATAAAATTCCTGCTTACCTGTCCTGCTATAAACTCTGACCATAGATCAGTTTAACAGACTACAAGTGTATCACACAGCCTTACATACAAATGAAGATAAAGTGTTTCAGAGGAGAGCACTCCCTGGAGCAGGCAGAATGTTATCTATGCCAGCCTTGTGAAGGACACTGAAGTTACAAAGGGTTTTTCCCTCCTAATGTCACGTCACATTTAACTGTTGTACACCATTTTCTGTATTCTGCTAAAACTAATCACTGAATGAAATAGCTGCAGATGCTGCCACGGACAAATGACACAACTGTACACAAGGTGTACAGCATACAAAAACTAAAAGAACTTTTCTAATAGCTGCTGACTGACTGATTTTAAGCAGAAGGGATCCAATTTCTGCCAAGTTGTGCGTGGAGAGGAAAAAAAGAATCAGCAGTTTTCTTCACTCTCAGCTTAGCCCTTACCTTCTTTTGAGAAGAAATGCATTTCCTTCTTAGCCTCAAAGCAGCAACAAGGACATGAATAATGCATATAGTAGAACTTATATTAAGATTCCACTTCAGCATAACATAACTTGAAGAGAAGTGAGCTTCCAAACAGGGGTTGCAGGGAAGGAAACAGTGACAGCACAGTGTTACCCGATGTGAAATACTGTCTCTTTCCAATTCATGTTCTAAACTAGGTATTGACTTTTGCACAGTTAAAATACTGAGCTCTTACTTTATGGAAAAAGTAAATCAGACCATGTAATGAAAGCCTGCAGCTGTACATCAATAATTAAAGGGCATCATATCCACTGGAACACTTGAGAATCTGAAAGAATTCTGGATCTCTGACTTACAAAATAAGCTGTTTTCCAACCAGTAAGAAGATGAGTTCATACGGTTCAATTGCAGCTTCCTTTAAAATGCCCTCCTTAGTATACACTGACTTATGAAGTTCAAAATAAAAGCTTAGTAAATAAAATAAAAGATTAAAGAAAAAAGTCTAAGGACCGTGTTCCTGTTAGTGCTTCATGCCTGCAGCTACCACGAGAGGTCAGGAAGCAAAGTAGTCACAGGATGAAGGTCTCTTCTCTACAGAAAAATCAGACAAGCAAAGCACATGTGATAACAAGGGAACTTCAGAAGCACATTTCACTTTTAAGAAGGAAAACAGACATACTTTCATCCATTTGCCATGAAATGTCCCTTCATTGCATATCTATAAAGCAAAAAGTAAACAGAAGTCAGTATCTGTTGATATACAAAGTAGTAGCGCATACACATAAATAAATATTTCACCATCGTTACTGAACTTTTTCATCAGCCCTCCAGGGAAATAATCTGTATGAAAATTCAAGGTGCTTATTTCTCTCATCCTTCTGCCTGCAGCCTGCAGCCTTACTGAAAAGAACACCCATGCTGTGAGAGTTCTCTACAGTGCTTGGCCTCTTCACATGTTATATGCTATTAACGTCGTCTCTACAGCTTACAGACAACGCTTTTCTCCATGATTTCACTTCAAGACATAACCATACAGAATGTCAGTAACAACACGAAAACAAGACGTTACTTAAATACTTCACATACAGAACTTATATTCTACTGTAAAAGCACAGCAAGGCAAAAACTCGTATCGGACACACACCTCCCACCTCTCCCCCTCCAAGGTTCATTTCTCAAGCATCAACGCGTTACCAGAGTGCAAGAGTGACATTGACTGAAACAGTCAGCAGCAGGAAGGGAAACAGTCCAGAAGAGATGGACATTGTATGTACCTTCCCACAGTGCAACACAAAGGGCAGACTTTCTCAGTGGGATGGGAACCGTAACTTGAGAAGCTTCACTGCAGACAGTGAAAACTCAGAAATGCAGTCCTAACCATAAATCATTTATATTCACCATTGAGATCAGGTCTAAGCATTAACATCGTTTGACATGAGAAGATTATTGGGAAGCCATTGCCGAGGATGTTATGCTGCTACAGAAAAGCAGAAACAGTCTGAGAGTAGCATCAATGCAAGCATACCAAGTCCTAGAGTTTCCCTGCCTTGTCTCGTGCAACATAAAAACATCGGTCCCTTAAAGTAATTAAGGGTCAGTGTTTGTTAGAACAAAGAGCATATAAACCCTAAGGCTTGGATTTACCAGTCAGTTCAATTTTGAGGTTCCTGTCTTTAGCTTCTCTCATCAGCCACCGCTCACAGCCTCAGAAGTCATTCTCATCATTTCCATAGTGCATCTCAGAGAACTCAGTGCCATCTAGAAAGAAGACAGACATTATAAAGACATTATAAAATTCTTTGCATTGCTCACTGCCACACTATGCAGGTAGGTACACTGCTCCAGCATGGCTCACACATCCTTTCCTCTGTACTTCAAACCAAAACAAGTAGTGAAGGGAAGAAGCAAAGCTGCCACTCTTCATTCTCAGCGTGTTAACTCAGCATAAACGTTTGGGTGTGTTTCCCTTTTTTTGGGGGGAAGCACTCTGTCTCTTGCTTTTTTAAAAAGAGACTATGCTTTCTTTTTTTGCAGCAGAATGTGATTAGCTATTGGACATTTTCTGTTCCTCGATACAATAATGCTAAAACCTGTATTTATGATTACCTTCATCTCAGCAACCACTGAGAAATTCACAGTGTTAGGATCATAAGAAAAATAATCACCGTTGAAAGTACAATTAGCAGATAATGTGCACATGGTGACGTATGGGGGAAAAGAGAGTAAGGGGAAAAAAAAAAAAAAAAAAAAAAAAAAAACACCATAAATTTAAAACCATTTCCTTCTCAAAATTTTGCATTTCTAAATCAAACGGGAGAGGGGGGGGGGGGGGGGGGGAAAGACAGGAGAGCACCGTCTTCGGAATGCAAGTGTAAATTTCTTTCACGAATCTGCAGACACCAACCATGATATCTTACGTGCAGCCTCAGCACAGCCACAGAGCACACACAGCACATCTCAGCGAAGGGAGCACGGAGGACACGCTGCTGCAGCATCAGTGGCACAAGAACCCCGCACAGCCCCCAGCCGCCGGCTGCCCATCAGCTCCAACCTCCCCCTGGAGGACGCATAACGTGGCACGGAATTCGGCCAGGGAAAGGAGAGAGAAATCAGGCTGAGGACAAGAACTGCGAAACAGAACGCCGTTCGGAGGATGCTCGCTCCCACCTCCCACTCCCAGCTCTCGCCACTCCCACTCCCGAGAGCTCTCCCTCCCCGCCCATGCCCACCGGCGCCGCTCACCCCGCTGCTGCCGATCCTGGCCCTCCGTCACTATCCCGTACGTAAGCGGCACCGACCCAGGGAGGCCCCGGACCCCACGAACGCATGACACGGCCAGGAGGAGTGGACAAACCCGGCACCGCGCCGCCCTCGCGGCCCGCCGCCGACCACGTGACCGCGCGACCGGCACTGCACAGGCCTTATGCCTATTGCCCAGTTCTCTGCCTGCGCTGCTGATTTGTGGCTCTGGGATGAAGAATTAGGTGCAACATGTTTGTGCCCAGCTCTGGAAGCTACAGCTTTTCTTGAGTAACTGCTGAGACCGTGAGTGTACCTGATTTAGTGGAAACAAACAGAGTTGCAACAGGAATAAAGTTTCCTCTGCATGCTAGGTGAATAAGTGTGAAGAGCACAAGCAATTATTATTCCACTATTTGCACTAAATTTGTTCCATCTGCTTTGATACCCCAACCTTCCAATGAGATTTGCAGTCACTGCAGTTATTGCCACTGGTGGAGTATAGATAGCTGCTTTTCCAGATTATTTGCTGCTTCCCATTTTATACAACCGTTGCTCTTCTTTGGATAGCACAGTTGCTGTAAGTGCAGCTTTTGTTCCTACTGGAAGGCAGTTTTTATGTCAGCAGGATGCAGGGGTTAGCTTGGCTGAACAGGAGCAGCCCACAGCAGGCTGAGCTCTGCCAGGCATAGATCAACATGCAAAGCGCCTGGGCCAAACGATGATCCAGGCTGTAGAATGGAGCATATCACCTTGGCTAGCTGTTTAATGATTCAGACGTTCACATCGTCTGCTTCCCCTCAAGCAGGAGGGTCAGGGAATGTCACAGAGAATCAGCTAAGCGTGGCAATACTGCTCTGGCAAGGCAGCCCCTCTGACCACACAAAGGACAAATAGGGACAGCTCTTAGAGCAGACTCCTCGTGCTCACCTGCACTGCTCTACACTGAGAGGCTTCAGAGATCCTAGCAGCTGGCACCGTCAGCTACTTTGGTAGAAATCTAAATGTTTGTTTCCAAAAACAAGCACAGGCTGAAAGCAGGCTGAGAGCAAGACACAGCTAGATTCAGTTCTCCGTGTCCACCTGCACGCTGGGTTGTAGCTGCTGCAGTCGTGTGCAGTGTTTCCTGTTGCTGAATCCTGGGAGTGACCAAACCCAGACCTCTTAAGAAGAAAACTCTCACTACCATCACAATACTGTGCATGCAGATGAAGCTTGATACAAGTATGGCAGTGAAGGTTTCTGACTGACCTGTCTCCACTAGTTAGGAGTTTTATTTACTTGCTTAAATACAGTAAGCTGCTCTCACTTATGAGTATGTCTGTCCTTTGCCATAAACATACCTGTGACAAAATGGTTGTTTTGACATCATCTTCCAGTGGCTAGGATAGCCAAAACTTAGAAAAATAGAGCACCTCCCTCAGATCTGTGATGACTGTGTACTGCTTGCTAATCATCCCTTTTATCTGTGCTTTTCCTTTACAGGATGCAGTTCTTTATTATGGTCCAAGACCCTGTGGGTGTCTTCTCCTCCCACAAAGCTACTCACCCTGGAGGAGGCACAGGCATGGACACAAGGCCACAGCAGCTCTCCCTTTGTGTCAGACAGCAGAGACATTGAAGTGGAAGAAGGTCCCACACTTTTACAGGAGAAATTGCACACAGTCATTGACTTTCCATCTGAAAAGTGAAGAGGAGTTTCTATTGCAGCACCTGTCATAATTGTTTGGGTGTTGTTTTTTTTTTTCCATTATTACTAATTGAAAACTTGCTGAAATTAAGTTACCCTAATTGTGCCTGAAGTGTTGTAGCGAATTCCCACTCGCTTTGGACTCTGAGGACTCAACTAACATACATTTCCCCAATGGGCTCAGTTTAGCCACACAACCATGCTGTTCCTTCCCGGTTAGGCAGGCAGACACGAGGTGTATAAAGCCATCTGTATGGGAACTGCTGAGTCACGGCCTGAACCTCTGATTGATCACCTGAGGTGAGCCATGAGTCAGCCAGAGGAGCACAGGTGAGGGCAATTCACCTGTGCTACCGGAAGGGGTGGAGCCAGGCTCCACCCCTCCTGGACCTATTTAAGAGCTGGCTACCAGAGGGGAAGGATCTCTTCTGGAGATCCTCCTCTTTGATATCTTCTAGTGAGCTCAACCCAAGGGTAAGCTCTTCTACTTATTCTCTTTTGTGATCCTTGTTTGCCTTACTCTTTTGATTATATTGCAATTATAACATCTTGGTTATACACCATCTGACATCTATCTTTGCCTGTACTGCCTGCACTTGGAAACATCAGGGATTTCCAGATTTCAGGACACGTGTCTGAAACAAATTTTGGTTCTCCTCTAAGCAGAGCTGCTGGACAGACCTGTTGGCTCTAGAAATTAAACACAGCAGTGAGATGAGGCCAGTGATGTGTTAATGTAAAGTAAGAGATGGTTTGGAATGCCTTTGATGGCTTTACAGTTCCTCAGGAAGCAGTTACACTTGCCAGCTAAATAAAAGCTGTCCCTTAGATGCAGTGCTGTACAGATGTGGAGTGTTTGCTCACCTGCACTGCATCTTGCTTTGCATAGTTTAGAGGAAATTAACCAGCAAGACTTCAGGGCTGGGCTATAAGAATGGAAACATCCTCAGCTGTTTGAAAGAGACCGAGTTTCTAAGGTTTGTGTCAGCCAGGGAAATCCATCCTCTGTGGCCAAATGCAAATTGCAGCACAATCCCAGGAGCCCTCAGAAATGGAAGTCATAGCCCTGGCAGCTTTCGAAACACTGTTTTTCAGCAGCATAGAGTTCATGCTTTCAGTGTGCTTGTACCTCCTTCTAGCGTTCAAGCCTGTGCGTAACATCTTCAGTTCACCCCTGTCTTTCCTAAACAGGTCTCGTGTTAACTCAGGATCTGGAGGTGGCAGAGCACACCCCTCTCGTGTCTTTCTCCTGAGTAGTTTTTGAGAGACAGCACATGGGCACCCCTACAAGAAGTCTCAGAATGTTTCCTTCTGACGCTGCTATTATGGAAGTAAGAATACATTCCTGGCTCCATTTTGCTTTTGTGCCAGAAGGCAGACATTTAAGCTACTCAAGTCACTTTTCCACAAAATGCCCACAGAAAGAAGGCATCCAACATCTTTCTGTAGCTACGGAGACTCTGACTTCTTAACCCTTTCCATGTATGTTTTACTGTCTATTTCCAAATTTAAAAACAGCAACTGTGAATTTTTGCAGAAAAACATACCACAAATCCTGAAGTGTGGGCCAGTGAGGAGTTTTATCTATCTTCTCCCTGATGCCTTTAGTCTTCAGTATAACAAACACATTCTATGACTGTGCTTTAAGACAGACTCCCTTGAGAATTTTAGTTGTGCTTGTTTAGTGCTCATAAAACCAGCTGTGCAGGTGCTGCTTTCCTCCCCATTGTGAGGGGATTGCTGTCAGGAGCCAAGCAGTTATCCCAGGCACATCCAGCAAGGAGCTGCTGTGGCACGATGGGCGTGTGGAACAGCTGTCTTCCAACCTGTCCTCTGCAGCAGTTAGCATTCTGTAAGCTATTCTTCCCCAGCTTGCAGAACAAGTATCAAAAATTGATACTCTTTTGTGAAAGAATAAATGGGTCTTTACAAAAAGGCAGTGTGACATTCCTGACTGCAGACAAACAACAGCACAGATGCCTGCCATCTCTGCAGTAAAAGCTGGACTTAATGAAGGAGCTTATCCATCTGTGTTGGGCAGCAGAATCAGGGCAATGCTCTTCAGGTCTTTGTTTTCCTGCTAAGAATTTTGTACAGCTGACTTCACCTGCCTTTCATTCCTTGCCATCTCTCCCTTTTTCTTCTAAGGCAGCCTTGGAAGGAAAATGATTTCTGAGAAAGACTTAGAACCATAGCATGCATAAACTAGTTTTGCTTTTGCAAACAGCTTAGTTTCAGACTAAATTGGACATGGTAACAGCTTTAAAAACAGTTTGAGCACAGACTAAATTGGACATGATAACAGCTTTAAAAAGAGTTTGAGCACACTTAATTAACAGCTATTGCTAACTCCATACGGTGAGCATCTTGCATACTGCTTGAAGCCTGCTTGAAAAACAAACCCGTAATGTACGGTAAACACAACAGGCATGATGTGTCCTGATTAAAAAACAAAAACAAAACAGCAAAAAAAAAAAGGGCAGGTGCCTGTATCACATGTCTGTGGCTGCAGAGGATCTTCCAAAAGGAGAATAAGGCAGTAGAACCTTATGCTCACACTGCGTACAAATGCTACAGGAGCAGAAACAAACCGGGAAGCTCTGGGTTCCTCCTGGAAGGCAAGACTGCACAGAGAAGCACCAGCTGTGTTTGGCAGTGCCCTCCACCCTCAGATTTCCGGCTCCCCTGCTCCTCATCCGATCCCACTGCTGAGCCAGGAACGAGCTGCCCAGTGCTGCAGAGCATTGTGCAAAGCCACACCGGGACCTCCTCCCCTTCCTCTCCTGCAGCTCAGTGTGCAGCCTCACCTCCTCCTCTGGCAGAGCTGCTGATCCCACATGTGGCATCAGGATGCTCCTCTAACCCAGAACTCCTTCCCACCCTGCCAAGAAAAAGCAAACCAAACCTCCACCACCAGCACGGCCCTGCAGTAGGGAATGCACACAGCTTCACGCTGCTCCCCTTCCCCTTGTCCTACCTAAGAGACCAAAGGAGCACTGATTGGTACAAAATACAGTAGTGTCACTTTAAAATGCAAGTTGTGTTTTCATGGACAGAGGTATTACAGCCCAAAGGTTGTAATAAAGTTCATATAAAGGAGGATAAAATACAGGTGTTCCATACACAAAAGCAAAGAGGAAAGGTTGTGAGGGGGTTTCCCAATGAGAAGTACAATTTCGGAAAGGGACACATAAAGAGAACATAGAGGGACGTTGAGGCAAAGCTAACAATGACTGCTGCAAAACCAATGTTACAGAGAGAGAATTCACTGCCAGGAGTATCTCACAGTCCAGTGATAAAGATTCACAGCACTGGCTGCAAGGTTGTGTTTTAATTAAAAATGCTAATTGAAAACAATCTGGATTTCTGAGCTAATTGTACTTTTAGTAGGGGGGATCACTAAATGGTACTGCAAAAGAGGGGTGCAACAAGGGGCACAGTAATGGGGGCTTGTATACAAAGGAAGCGATGCAAAGCCTCGTGCAAACTGGAGGGCTGCAAGGGATGGCAGGCTTTTGGGGTAAAAGCAACAAAGGGGGAGAGGGAGGCACAAGAAGGGGAAGCAGGAATGGGAACTGGTTAGGGGAGGAGGAGGAAAGCAGTGTGGCTGAAGTGTTCAAGATGCGATGGTGTGTTTGCATGGCAGGTGGAAGGGTGGTGGGCTGTAAATGTGTGTGTGGCACAGGAAATGGAGCGGAGTGCAGCGGTCAGGTCCTCCCTGGGCAACGTCAGGTGTCAGCAACAGCAGGAGCACTTGGAGCACTGCCTTCAACAAAAACAGTGCCAGGATGGCAGCTTGGTGGTCTGAAGCTGCATAGTTTCTACTCTGGACCGGTAGTAGTGCAGTAGCTCATGGAATGCCACTGGACAAATCAGGCCGTGTGCTCTTTGTCAGTCTCTAATTGCGACTATTTTTTATTGACCACAACCAAATTTGGAGTGCCAAGTAGGGCGGCATTCGGAACACTGCCCTGTAACACCACGCACTGCAGCTGCTGCCTTCTGCTGCTCTTCCTCTCAGTCCTTCAGCTGCAGCTTCTGCATAATCTCCACAAGGCTGTTCATTGCGGATCACTGGAAAGAAAGAAAACAAGTATAGAAATAGGACAGAAACAATCTAGGGAGATCTCATTAAGAAAGTCTGATCAGTAAACCTTCCACAACAGCCCCATGTGGAACAGCATGTTCCTGACATTCAGGTCGCTGACATTACTTCCCAGAACAGCTGCCTATGGTAAGATTCATGCTCTGCTGGGGGAACGAGGTTTCTAAAGTCACAGTGCCCGACATGGCAAGGCTCTTTATCACAGCAAAACCCTTCAGCCATTACCAATAGTGTCCTTCTCAAGCCGGAGGAAGGCATCCAAGCTCTCCTGGGCAGCTCTCACTGACAGCTGATTTCCTCAAACACACAGCTGGGTGTTTTTCTATTACATTGCTTGCCCTGGGACTCTGCAATAACTTTCATGTCTGACAGACGGAGGCACTGAGCACAGCAAGAGCCGTGTCTTGCGCTCACCAAGGACTCACCTGCGCATGTGCAGCGGCAGCTCTCAGAGAAATCTTCAGTTCCACGCTCCTCTCTTTTTGTCGTTGTCTTCTCAGCCAATCGGAGCAGGAGGCGCTACTGCTGACCAATAAGAGAATGGAGGCGGGCCGGAACTGCTGCTGACCAGTGAGAGGCACGAACTGACCGGAAGTTCCTCTAACCAATGAGAGGCCGGGGGCGGGGCGAAGCGGCTATTGGGGACGGGCAGCCTCGGGATGCTCTCTGTTGCCATAGGGGATGGGATTGGGATCGGGAATATGGGAATGCAATTGAGATGAGGGATTGAGATTGACAGGTGAGTGATGGGCTTGGGATGAGGGACTGGGAATGAGATTTGGAATTGGGATTGGGATGTGGGATATGGGATGTGGGATTGGGGTGTGGAATGTGTGATTGGGATGTGGGCTGTGGGGGTATGGATATGGGATGGGATATCAGGAATTGGGATATATATGAGATGGACTTTGGATATGGGATGGACTTGAAATGGATATGGGATCATAGAACCGTGGAATCACTCAGGTTGGAAAAGAGCTTCAAGATCATTAAATCCAACCACAACCCAACCATACAATCGATCTGGTCTGTGCAGGTCCCTCTGCAGCGCCTTTCCCTTCGGCAGGTCAGCTCTCCCTCCCAGCCTTGTGCCAACTGTGAATGCACTGAGGGTGCCCTTAATCCCCTCATCAAGATCATTGATAAATGTGTTCAATAGAAGTGGCCCCAGCACTGAGCCCTATGGGGCAGCACTGGTGATCGGCCGCCAGATGGCAAATCCTGCTGTGTGTACAGAGTTGGTTGGGTCCCTGTCTGAAGACAAAACTGGCAGGAGCCAAACAGTGTGGGGGCAGAAGGGCTGTGGTGTGGGAGGTATCTTTATGCCTATCTGCACAGCAGGCCCAGCTGCCCCTGCTTCACCTCTCCATGGGAACTGCCCCTGCTAGAGTCTCTTCTGGCCACAGTGAGCCAGGATGATTCCCCTCCATCTGTCCATGCCTGCTGCCCATCCCCACAGCAATTCATGGGCAGCGCAGGAGAGCTGTGTGAAACGCCCTCTGCATCCCGCTGCACAAAGGACTGCAGGGAAAGAGGAGGGCTGGGGCTGCTGGTGGCAGCTAAGGGAGACCATGGGCCATCTCTGGTGCCCCATCCTGCCCCGGAGGGCATGGGGAGCTGGGGGGCTGAGATACGGCACAAATGACTGCAGGCAGAGATGTGGCAAAGGGAACACAAAGCTTTTAATAATGTATCATGGAAAACAATGAGTAACAGCAATGACAATAATCCTAAAATTCCCATCCACAATGGTTGATGGCCCAGATGACGTCTCATCCCACTGCCATGATGACTCCAGAAGATGGCTCGGTTCTGGAGGGGAGGGATGGGGCCACTGGCAGTTCCCCTGGAACACTGCCTTATGCTGCGGGGCTGGCAAAGAGCGCAGGGTTACAGGTAGCCATACTGGTCAGCTATGGTCATGTCTATCTCCCGCTGCACCAGGAACTGCACGGGGCCGATCTTCATCTACTGGGCCGCCCACTGCCGCTGCTGTGGCTTTCCTGCTGAGGAGCTCCTTGTGTTCTTCTGCAAGTGCCCCCCAGCATCACTGCTGTCTCCACTGGTCCGTTAGCCTGCACTTCCTTCCTTCCATCAGCAGCTGCTCCTACTCTGACCTTCATTCACACTGGATGCCGTCCACTTCTAGCACCAGCTGACCTGCGAGACAGAGAAAGGAAATGTGGCATTAGCACAAATGCAGAAGCCTGAGGCTGTGCCATCACCACATACTGCAGCCTTGGGAAGTCAGCTGCAACTGCAACCTTTGTCAGAATTAAAGCAGGCACCATAAATTAAGTGTGACTTCTGAACTGACGTAACTGACATGATGAACTGACAGAAATATCAGTTTTCTCACAAAAAGAAGGCATTTTCTCCAGGAAATCCCAGTTTTCTTCCAAATATCTCTAAAAAGAAACACCGGATTTCTCACAAGTATGAGACATTTTCTCAAAGAAATGCCAGGTTTCTCACAAAAATAAGACATGTTCTCCAAGAAATACCAGCTTTCTCACAAGAATAGCACATGTTCTCCAAGCAGTATCAGTTTTCCTTCAAAAAGACAGCATTTTCTCCAAACAATACCAGTTTTCTCACAAATATCCCTAAAATGAAATACCAGATTTCTCACAAAAATGAGACATTGTCTCCCAGAAATACCAGGTTTCTCTCAAATACACAACATTTTCTCCAAGAAATATCAGTTTTCTCATGAAACAAAGACATTTTCTCTAAGAATACCAGTTTTCAGTCCGAAAAGAAGGTACTTTCTCCAAACAATACCATTTTTTCCCCCAAATAGATGGCATTTTCTCTCAGAAATACTACTTTTCAATCCTAAATATCACATTTTTTCCCAATATTGTGACATTTTCTCCCACAAATACCAGTTTTTTTGCAAAATATATTATATTTTCTCCCAGAAATACCCATTTTCTCCAAGAAATATGTCATTTTCTTACTGAAATATGTCATTTTCTGCAAGAAATACCTGATTTCTCCCAAATATATGACTTTTCCACCAAAAGATACCAGTTTCACATAAGAAGTATGACATTTTCTTGCAGAAAAACATGCTTTTCCAAAACATTTGTCATTTTCTTCCAGAAATACAAGCTTTCTCCTAAAAATATATGAAACTCTCTCCCAGAAATGTTTTTTCTCCCAAATCTGTAACTTTTTCACCCAGTTTTCTCCCAAAGATATGACATTTTCTCTCAAAAATAACTGTTTTCTACCAAATATATGGCATTCTCTCCTAGAAATACCTGTTTGATCCCAAATATGTGATATTTTCTCCAAGAAATACCAGAATAGGAGCAGTTATTTGGGGCTTAGATATGAGGATGGGATATGGATTGGGGGCTGGGATGTGGGGCATTTACAGGTATTGGGGCAGAGATTGGGTCAGGAATGTGAATCTGGGATTTGCGGATTTTATGGGGCTGGGATGTGAGGATAGGATGAATGGTGGGGATGCGGCGCAGGGATGTGGGGCAGAGATTTCAGAATGGGATGTTGAGCTTGGATGTGGGGCAGGGATGTGGGGCACAGATATGGGACTGGGATTTGGGGCTGGGATGTGAGTATAGGATGAATGGTGGGGATGCGGCGCAGGGATGTGGGGCAGAGATTTCAGAATGGGATGTTGAGCTTGGATGTGGGGCAGGGATGTGGGGCACAGATATGGGGCTGGGATGTTTTGCAGGGATGTGGGGCTGGGATGTGGGTCAGGAATGTAGGGCAGGGATTTGTTGTTATGAGGCGGGAATGTGGGGCAATGATGTCGGGCTGGGATGTGGGGCAGAGATGTGAGGCAGCAATCCGAAGCTGGAATGTCCAGCACAGGGCCTGGATGGACCAGTGCACTGCCGGAATACAAGAAATACTGCTCAGAGCTACAGCCATGGAGCAAGGCATGAGAACCAAAGAGACCTCCGGAAGAAGAAAGAACTTCTGATGGCTCTGATTGGATAAGTGCCCACATGAGTGGCTAAGGAGTGTTTGTAGAATGCTCTGCTGGCACGGAAAGGTGGGTGGGAAAGTTGTAGGCATGGGTGGGAAAGCTAGAGAAAGAAAACTTGTGAAGGAATATAAGTGATGTGAGAACTTGTAATAAATGATTTGGATTGTTCACATCTGAGTCTGTGCATCAGATGCTGCATGCTGTGTTCCCAGCATATGTCAGGAAGTTGAAGTCCCCTGTGAGGACAAGGGCTGGCAATCACACAGCTGGCACACAGCTCCTGCCAGCTGCTCACAGAACTCCTCTGAATCTTTCTTCATCCTGGTTTGGCGATCTGCAACAGACACCCACCAGGATGTCTGCCCTGTCAGCCCTTCCCTTGATCTTTTCCCATAGGGATTCCACCTCATCATCCCCAGCCACAAGTTCAGCCACCTCTCCTTCCTTGCCTATCCTTCCTAAGAGTTTGTAGCCAACCATTGCAGCACTCCAGTCGTGGGAGCGGTCCCACCACGTTTCCGTAATGGCAGCTTGGTCATAGTTACCCTGCCACACAACTCTTCTTTTTGTTGCCCATGCTGTGTGCATTGGTGCAGATGCACTACAGCTGAGCCCCTTGCCTCACCCCTAATCCCATTACCGCTCCCCCAGGCTCATTTCTGGCTGGCCTGGTTTTATCCCCTTCCCCTTCATATCTACTTTAAAGCCCTCTCTACAAGTCCTGCCAGCTCCTGGGCAAGGATCCATTTCACTTTGGGACAGGTGATATCATCAGCAGCCCTCCTGCCAGGTGCCGAGCAGACCACCATAATCAAAGAACCCAAAATTCCTGTGTTTGCACCAGCCTATCAGTCATGTCTTTATATGGTTGATTTTCCTGCTCCTCTCAGGTCCTTCCCCGCCCCATAGGAATACAGGCAAATGCTGCCTGTATGCCTGCTCCATCAAGTAACCTCCCCAGTCCCCTAAAATCATTTTTCACAGTCCTCAGGCTTCTGTTGGTGACCTCATCACTGCCAGCCTGGACTATCAATGGAGGATTATAATCAGAGGCGTGGATCAGACTAGGCAGTTTTTTAGAGATATCCCTGACATCAGAAAATATCAGAGATATCCCTGATCCGGGCCCCAGAGAAGCAGCACAGCTCCCTGCAGGTAGGGGCAGGCCGACATATTGTGCCCTCAGCTCCTCTCAGCAGGGAGCCACCTGTGGCTATCACCCTCCTCTCTTTTCTGGAGGAGGCAGGTGGTCTTGAAGTGTGGAGCCGGCCGCCTGTCCTCAGACAAAGCTTGGAGGCAGTCCTCCCTCCTCATCCTCACTGCCACGAGTGAGTGACATTGCTGTGGTGTGCTGCAACTGCAAGGTATCTCCGTGTGCCACCACTGCAGTGAGAATGTCCAGTGGCACTCCAGAGGGAAAACCTGCACTGGATCATGAGAGCATCACAAAGGCAGGGGTTAAAGCTTTCCATCTTGGGACACTTCACTTTCACATAGATGCCGTGTTCAAAGCAGGGCTGTCTGGCTGTGGGTGGGTTTAGTAGAATCAAAGTAGCTGACGATTGGGAATATCTTCCATAGCAAGGCTGAAGGTATGCCACTTTAAGCAACATTCAGAAGGGTATCTTGAAGACAAGTGTAAGGACTTGCTAGCAGTGCAGTAGTTTGTGCTCACCAGCACTCCCCACCAAAGGGCTTATCGCGTTTCAGCAGTATGTCACGCTTGTTTATGTATGCATTGAAAATAATTTAATGTGTGTTAGAAAAGATCAGCTTTGCTGTAATCCAGATCATTTTCTGGGATTCATAAGACACATAATAACTAAGTAATTTATTTTTCAGAACTTCAAAAAGATAGTGGCTTTATTTGAGACTTGTAGGCAAAAATAAGTGGGAAGGAAAAAACTATGGGGTATTAACTACTCAGAAAAGTAATGTGTGCATAAATGGGAAATGCAGCAGAGACTACTCAGGATCAAAATGAACAAACTAGGCATTCTATTAAAAAAAAAAAAATGTTGCACAAGGAATTTCAGGATCTGCAGGGAGAGCTGCAGGCGCAGCAGGGTGCAGCCTTCTATTGATGGTAATAACCCAGCACAACAGCCAGACTGACAGGGCACCACAACCTTTCTGGGCTGATGCATGCTCCCAGAGCCAGGTGTCCCAAAGAGTGACAGAGCTGCCCAGATCCTTGGTTGTAGAGCCCAGGAAGTGGAAGGCAAGCCAGGGCATGAGGACAGAGGGATGTGTCACAGGTACAGGTGTTCAAGCAGCCAGACATGTTTGGAGAGGAAATTACCAGACAGAGAAGTGTCCAGGAATCTGAGAGAAAAACATCATGATGTCATATGAAGATGGTATCATGCGGTAACATGGGCAGAACAACAGCACTGCCTCAAGTCCCTGCAAAGGACAGAAGGTAAAGCAAGCTTCCAACCTTGAGGAGGCAGATGGCAAGATGGCAGATGGCAACACTTAGGATGGCGAGACTGAACCCTGGGCTTTGGTTGAAGCAGAGGAGCCTCCCCACAGCCCCTAAAATGTCCCAACAACAAATAGGAGACTGGGAGCAAAGAGTAGACGGCATGGGTTGGAGTGCAGATGCAGGAAGACACACTGAACTGGTCCAACCAAATACCTTTATTAGATCTTTATTATGTCACCAAAAAAAGGCAAAAGGTGTTAATAATTGGAGACTCCTCGCTCAGAGACATTGAGGTACGCTTTTTGCCTTCTGGACAATCTCTCCAGATAGGTTTGCTGTCTGCCAGAGACCTGCATTCATGACAGCAAGAGGAAGCTCCAAGGTTAATAAAGCCAGAGGATATTACCCATTGCTGCTCTTTCAAGCTGGGTAACATGAGGCTACAATGAGAACTACAAAATATCAAGAAACTTTATTTCCCTCAGGTGGATGTCAAAGGGATTGGGACTGCAGGTTGCGTTCTCCATTATCATCCCAGCTTGAGACTGGGACCCAGGAAAAAGGAGATGCACAGGTGAGGTGCACAATTGCTGTGTGGATGCTGTCACACTTGGTGTTTCATTACTTTGGAAATACCACCAGACACTGGGTATGTATATGTAGGATAGGGCACAACTGACAAAGAGGGGCAAGAATATTCTGTACAGAAAGCTGGCTGGGCTGACGACCAGAACTTTAAACTACATTTGATAGGGAAAAGGGATGTACTTCTCAGTGATAGAGAAGGGCCAGCGAACACCATCACTATCACTCTGTGGAGCAGCAGAGGAAAGGCTCTGAACTGTCATGAAGGAACTATGCTCCTCCAAGAAGGTAACAAGGCTGATTGACGGCCCCACTGAAGTGCCGCCACATCAACACAAAGAGTGGGGAATAAACAGGAGGAGCTGGAAGCCGTGGTACAGTTAAAAAGCTATGACCTAATTGCTGTCATGGAGACGTGGTAGGATGAAATGCTCAAGTGAGACACTATAACCAAGGGCTACAAGTATTTCAGAAGAGAAGAACAGGGAAGGAGGGGTGTGGAAGCATCCTCCACGTTAAGGAAACAGCCACGGTCAGGTTAAGAGCTGGTGGGTAAAAATGAAGGATCAGACCAATGAAAAACTTCTGGTGATCAGATCTACTACAGGCCACCAGCTGAAGGCAGCCTGCGGATCAGGCCTTCTTGCTTTAACTACAAGAAGCATCATGCTCACAGGCTCTCATCCTGATAGGAGACTTCAACCACATGGAGGTCTGCTGAGAAAGCAACACAGGAGGCTGTAAGCAATCCAGGGGACTGGAATAATTGAGGATAACTTCCTGGTCCAGATATTGGGCAGTCCAAATAGATGTGAAGCATTTCTAGACCTCGCTCACCAATGCAGAGTTCATTAAAGAGGTTAAAAATGGAGGCAGTCTGAGCCATAGGGATCATGCTTGGCTGATTTCATGTTCTCAGGAACACGGGCCTAGCAAGGAGATAAGTTGGGATCCTGGACTTGAGGAGAAGTTCTGACAAATTTCTGACTGTTGAAGGAATTATTGGATGAGATTTCACCCCTGGGAAGAATCCAGGGGTGTCATCTGGATGTGTAGAGATAGGATTAGGAAAGCCAAGGCATACATGGAACAAAACTTGGTGAGGGACATGAAAAACATTACAAGATTCTACAGGTATGCTGGTCAGAAGGGACAGGCAAAGGAGAGCATACCCTCTGAGATACACTCTCCTTGACAACAAGAAGGAACAGCAGACACGGAGAAGGCTGAGGTACGCAGAAAGTTCTTTGCCTCGGTCTTCACTGGTGGTCAGGCTTCCCATGTTTCTCACATCCTTAAACATGTAGCTTGGAGCTGAGGGAGCCAAATCCCTCCCACTGGGAAAAATAAGTCTAATGCTGTCTTGTAAGAGTGAACATTACAAACCTATGCAGCCAGATGACATATATCCCAGGTCTGGAAGGAGCAGTTGATGTGGTTGCCAAATCACTGTCCATCATATTTGAAAATTCATGGCTGTCAAGCAAAGTCTCTGGTGATTTGGAAAAATGAATCATCACTCTCATTTTTAAGTGAGAAAGGAAAACCTGGGTTTTCACACACTGATGAGCTTTATCTTTATTCCTAGGAAGACTGTGGAACAGAACACTCTGGGAACTACAACAAGGCATGTGCAAAGCAAGGAGCTGATCTGAGACAGCCAACCAAGGACACGGTGTGCCTGACAAACTGGCAGCCTTCTACGATGGAGTAATGCCATCAGCGGACAAAGAATGAGCAACTGATGTCATCTACCTTCTGCAAGGCCTTAGACATGGTACCACATCACATCCTTACCTTTAAATCGGAGAGAAACTAAGTGTGGACTATTTGGTCAATGAGGAATAGGTTGGATGGTCACATCCAGAGGATTTCGGTCAATGGCATTATGGAGGTGAGAACAGGGGGCAGACATCCTTCAGGACTCCATTCTAGGATCAGTACTCTTATCAATGAGCTAGAGAGCAAAGGCAAGTACCCCTGCAGCAAGTTTTCAGATGACACCATGCCAAGTGCTTCAGCTGACATGATAAAGGAAGGGGTGCCATCCAAAGGACAAGCTCTGAAAAATGGATGCATATGAAGCTAATGAGTTTCAAGAAGGCAAAGTGTAATATGCTGCACCTGGGTCAGGAGAATGCCAGACATTTATTCAGAGCAGACCTGGGAGACTTAGGGTCCTGGTGGATGAAAAGTTTGTATTTACAGCCCACAAGGCTGACTGTGTCCTGGGCTGCATCAGGAGTGGCCAGCAGGGAGAAGGAAGCAATTATCCAGCTCAAGCCCACCCTTGTGAGACCTCATCTGGAATACTGCACCATAAGAAAGATGTGGAGGTGTTGGAGCAGGTCCAGAAGACCATTAAGACGATCAGAAAGCTGGAGCACCTTTCCTATGAAGGATGGCTGAGAGAGCTAAAGTGGTTCAGCTTGGAGAAGGCAGATCTGGGGAGATCTCGTTGTGACCTTCCAATACTTAAAGGGAGATCGACTTCTTATGCAGGCAAATACAGAACAACAGGGAACAGTTCTAACCTAAATCTCCCCTATTTTAGTTTAAAGTTAGGAGGGGATTCTTTTCTCAGAGCACAGAGATGCCTGTCACAGGCCACCGAGAGAAGCTGTGGGATCCCCGTGGGCATCGAGGCCAGCCTAGATAGAGCCCCAGGCAACCTGATCTGGTAGGTGGCAACCAGCCCACTCCAGGGTGGTAGAAACAGACGATCTTTATGGTCCCTTCCAACCTAAGCCATTCTGTGAGTCTAAGAATCCAAGTAAAATTTTTTTTTTTTTTTTCCTCCAAGTAAAATGATTTTTTTGGGGGGAGAAAAAAAAATAAAAATGAAGGCAGGTTTGTTTGATTGGAATGTTGCCATGTATTTCAAGAAACCCCAAATGACTACCAACAAATAGCGTCTCAGACACTGAAGAGATCTTTTAACAGCAAACTGTACTATTAACAAATTAATAGTCTGGAACTTCAGATTGTGATGTCTGCTCACTCTACTTTTTTTTTTTTTTTTTTTTTTTTTTTTTTAAAGTGTACAACCAAATTAAATCTCAGAGCAAACAAACTACCTGGAGTGAGTACAGACAAATGCTTAGTTAGGAACTGAAGTTTATGTACAGCTCTGTATGGGTTCCTTTCTGCTCTCACTCGTGTTAGGATTTTGCCTGTAGGTAGATCTACAGAAACAAAACGGAAGGCCAAATTACATGAGCAATGTGGAGTTACAAGTGCACCAAGTTGCACCTTCTGGCTTCATGTCACATTTTGTCCTGCGGTATTTTATCACCTTAATGTGACCTTCCTTTGAGTTCTAACAGGTCAGGTTTTAGGAACGATCACCTGATTCAAACTAAATTTATGTTCAGAAATGCTTCAGACTTCTGGCCCCATCCACTCTCCTATATTCTGTTCCAGCAGCTTGAATAAGGCCATACAAAGACTTGGTGCTAGCTACAATACTCAGTGTGAAAGTGGATGCAAGTGTGAAAGAACCAACCATCTAATAATTTTCCCCACAGGAAAATCATCTCAACCATACACACTTGCTTTCAGTGCTAAGGTCTAGAATTCTAAAACATCCTCTCCAATGGAAATTGCAGGGATTTCAAACTGTCAAATTCCAGGTCTGCAAGGAGTACTGGTGTGCTTGAACAGAGCGTAGGTGCAAGTTCTCATGTAAATCCAAAAGGATTGGACTAATTGGCTGCACAGTGAGTAGGGCAGTCTTCTGCGAAGATAGCGGCAGTGTCTCCAGATTTTTTCTCTTCCAGAAGCTCATCATCCTTTGCCTTGCTGTCTGCAGCAGCTTGAAGCTGGTCTCCCACCTGGACATCTTCTGTCAGTTGGAGAGGGCCTTCTGTTTGCCCCCCAGCATACGTGGGAGTGCTGTGCTTCATGAGAACAGTCTTGAACTGTGCCAAGGGAGCGTTGGTGCGAACGCCCATAGGATCAAAGTGGGTTCTGCTGACTCTGTATCCAGCTTCAGAGAGGTAGTTTAAGAACTTATTTAACCTGAAAAAGCCATGTAAGAAGGCATTAACAGTGGTGAGGCTGGTTCAGTACAAATTATATGTTAGTCATCATAGCACTGTAAGACTGGAATGTAGATATAAGCCTTACTTCGGCATGTTCATTCCTTTAATACTGTGTCTGTGGATATTGTAGTAAAATGCAGGGTGCTCCGCACTGTTGTCAGTTTTTTGTCGTTTGGTCGCATTTCGCATCACTTCATTATTTTTTCTTTTTCCTGAATCACAAAAAAGGCCAGTGAAACCTATGAATATTCACTAAGTCCACTTAAAAAAAAAAAAAAAAAAAAAAAGCCAGCAAAGCCAAAGATAGTACATACAGAAAACCCACACAGCAACCGCGCCTTTATGGATGTATTCATGCTTAATTAAGTAATTAGCATCGTGCTTTTACCAGGAAACATGACAAATATCACTCTAGATGAAGTAAAATAATTATGCAATGGGAAAATAATTCTTACTCAAGTATGATTAAATACAAAGAAGTTACAGCTGAATACTCGTTTGGCTTGGCCATCACTTCAAGTATAAAATCATACTCTGAAGTTGCTGAGGTTGAACAAAACCAATCAACTTACCAGGCACCACATCAGACTCTGCCAGCATATCTGGTGTTTTAATATATACGCCACACTCTTCTAGAACATAATTAAAGGTCAAAATTAAGTCTGCTGTAAAACAATGGAATGGCAAAATGCCCAAGTTCAACAGAAAAACCCACCATCAGCTCCCAGCCTGAGGTCAAAAGTACAGTGAGAGGCATGCACATAGTTCATCTGCTTACCAGCTCAGTAATTGAATTTAGAGGAAATACTAAAAACGTAACTTTGTTTAATGGTAAAAGAGCATGCAAGTGCAGAAAGTTGTTCCTTTTGGTGGAATGATTTACTATTCCAGCAGAGAATACAGAGCAGCAACCGCAGTCCTCAGTGGTGAGGAGCAGAATACAAGAGAGAACTGAGACACGCACCACCTCCAGCTCCTTCAGGGAACATGCTGCATTTCACAGTGGTCAGCCTGCCCACATTATGCTTATCTGTTTCAGGATCTCCCATAGTGGTTACATAGGTATAAATCCAGCACTCTGCCTTCGATAGATCCTACTTTTTTTGCAGCAAACCAAGCCTCACACTTCAAAGTAACAGTTATTTCCTTGACCTTGTGGCACGTACTCTGCTGTTAGCATTATGTTACCCAAGAGCAATCTCTCCAAAACCACCAAGCCAGTCTCCTCATGAAGAGGTCACAGTTTTTTTCTTACCTTGTTTGTTCTCATCAGAAGGACTATGGGTAGAAAAATTCTTGGAAGTTGTACACTCAGCTTCACAGACCACTGTTTTCAGAAGTGGCTGAACATCATCTAAGCCATACTGGACAGCTTCAAACAACATTCTTCTGAGGAACCCAGTATTAAAGAGAGCTCCTGACCTAGGAAATGTAGGAGAAGTGAGAAGATTTTACTAATGAAAGCAAAAAAAGTTCCCTTGAAAAAAATCACTCAGAGTGATTTGCAGTTAAATTACACCAAGGAGCTGCACTGTACTGCTGCCTAACATAGCAGTATAGAGTGGCTTGGTTTCCAAGGACAGCAGCATTGATCTTGCACAAAAAACAAAGATCTCAGGACTATTATTCCTACTACTGACTTTCTGTACTAGGTAGAGAAAGTCTTTCAGTCCCACTTTTATCAGGAAGAAAGCTACTGCTTTTAATGGTGCTTTGAAACCATTAGAAGACTTAAAGAATTTATTTTTGTTTTTCATAAGAGGCAATTTAAAAATCATCAAGTAGTGTACTTCCATCAGCACGTGTTAGGATTTATTATGTACACTCTGTAAGTATCCAGTAATAAACAACTTCATGACGTTAGCAATCAGAGGAACACAGAGCCAGGTTCTTCAGTGCAGGACATACTAAAATAGCTGCACTAAATGTGAAGTTTAAAGTGAATTTGTTATTTATTTACTGGTTTGAACGCTATGAACAAAACAAAAACCTGAACACCTTCCTAAATTCAGAGAACAGAATCAGTCAACTGTTTCCTAAATTACTCCTGACTGCCAGTTTCATTTTACAGCGACGGATGATCCAGCAGACCTGCATTTCTATGCAGTGACTGAGCAGTCGACCTCTGCAGGTCCTCCCAGCCCCAGTTACCCTGCAATTCCATGCTGTTCTCTGAACTTACCAGAGAGGACCAAGAACTACTGCTGTCCTCCCAGGCATACTGCTATGACAATCACAAGGCAGCTGCTGATAAGGATTTTCTGCAACAGGAAAACAGGATTTCAGTGAATTTGGAAGTCATCAGTGTTTACTGAGATGATACAGACATGAAGTAAGTTTACTAAAGTAATTAGAAGGGTAAACAACAGCACAAGTGCAACAGCACTCTCACTTATGTCAAACACTGCGGCAGTGCTCTTCAGTTCAGTGAGTGATGATTTTGAGCTGTAATCATTGTTAAAATGATGCTGTAAAAAATGACTACCTAACCTGCTCCATTTCTTAGCAGATTTCAAATGATGAGGAAATTACTCGTTTTCCTACAGTTATATGTGCAGCTGCCCAGGCTAGCAGTAAACATCAATAACAAAAATGTGAACATCCGTCAGTCACATACATAAAATACACCTTGCCTACAAGATCTCTAGACTGTAAGTGAGACTGCTTGCAGGTAGAGTATCAAATAAACCACTAATTTATTAAGATCTCCACCATAACACTGCACTTATCAGTTACTCACTTATGTCTATAAAAACAGGACTGAATCTCTTTAATGAAAAAATCACTGCACACTCTTGCACCTGACTTGAAGCAGGGTGTTCAAAGACACCACTAGCTAAACAGCAAAACATCCAGGAACATGCAACTTTGAAATAAATGAAGTTTTTCCTTTTACATCCATTTCAATTATTACCTGGCTAGTCCACCCTCCAGCTTGGATTTTGTACAGAGACAGCTCACAAGCTCAAGCTCAGCTTTTGACAGAAAGGCTGCCTCCATTTATTCCCAAGTGTTAGATGAACTGAAGGGATGCTGTGAACTTTTTTTTACCACACCTACTAAAATTATTTCCATCTGGCATTTACAGATAAGGCCCAAGCAGGCAAAACATACCCTCACCTGAGGGAAAGTGATACTATTGATTTTGTTGGACTTTCAGGTAACTGAACACGATGCTCTGCAGAAAGCAATCTGATACTAAATCCATCAAGCCGCTCCTGCATGGAGGGAGCAGAATGGCAGCCAGCTCCTCAAGCCCTTCACCAGAAGGCTGGGCTGAACAGCATATCAGTCATCCCTCAGCAGCTACAGTGAGCCTGAGTGCGTGCTGTCTAGCAGTAAATCCAAAACATTTACAGCAAAATTCATGAACATAACCAATCTAAGCAGCTACCATAAAACAGACAGTTTGTATTAGAAGTAGCTTCATACACTGTATGCATCTTTACATTAAATAGAAATAATACTTAAGGAGATGTAAACATAAACAAGACCTTAACAAACAGAAGAAAAAAACAAATCAAAACCCACAAAGGAAATCATACACTCAAGAAAGTGACAAGAAATATTCACTTACCTTCTACCATATTGCCTTCTTTCTGAAAAATTCTCTCCTCACACCACTGACAGTGGATGAGATATCTTATTTTCTTCGCTGAATCATCTGCAGGAGATGGTCCCCTTAAAACTCTGACGACTACAAGAACAAAGTGTTCTAGGGCTACTGCAAGCAAGACTTCAATGCCTTTATTACAGCGAGCTGCAGATCTACAGAGGAAAAACAAACACACCAAATGATGCTGAATGTAGTAGAGTAACATTTCTACAGACACCCGAAGCTCCTGAAAGACTTCTGAGCTCACCTGCTTTCTAGAAACCGACACTGAAACTTTAGGAAGGCTATCTGGAGAGAGTCGCTTCTTAAACGCTTAGTGTAGTCTACTTCCCATAGCGCTGAGAACGTCACACTCCAGTTTTCATTAACTAACAAATACTGGTCTGTTCTTCCATCATCCTTCTATCCCAATACCCACCTACTGCCAGGATAACGTAACTAAAAATCTGAACAAACTGGATGAGAAGCCAAGAAAACTGAGATTTAGAATGACACACACAATGGTAAACCATCAAACACTAACTAAATAAGGACTGCAGGAAGACAAGGCAGCAGTTCCTGAGCAGATAAGCGCTGATAAGAAGAAAATTTTCGGGAGAGTTGGAACTCATAAACCAGAACTGATCAAACTTCATCTGAACAGCTAAGAAGTTCAACCTCATCCCCCTCTCCAAATCTCAGTTCATAACGTAGTTTCAAAGTAAGGTTATGTTTAATCAGATGTTTAAGAATGTTCTGCAACCTACCACAGGAAGGGAGATGAAAAAATTAAAGTCTAAATGCATTCCCATCAGTTTTTTAGCTCTGCCATTCCAAAGACCTCTGCATGTATTTTCTTCTTTTTTTCTTCCCAAGCAGTTTGGCCAGTCCTTTTCCTCGTTAATTAGAGACTAGATTTTCAGTCCTCATTTGTTTAACCGGCCAAAGTTATTAGAAATATCTAGAGCAGGCAGGACCAACCCAGGCTCCAGGGGGTAGCAGGTGGCCTATTCCAAAGTGGACAACCAGTTTCCCTTAACACTAGTTATCATTAAAAAAAAAAAAAAAAACAAACCCTGGAATTCTTAGCTAGAAGCCACTGAAGTGTTTTAGTTAATATTCATAAAGCTGTGTGCAGTACTGAAATGGCAACAAAGTTGAGAAAAGAACCAACAAACTCACGTACCTCAAAGTCCAGCTAGTCGTTCTCTAGTCTAGGATAACACCCCCCACCAAAACCAAAACCCACCACCCTTTCAACATCCCAAACCCCCTACCCTATTTATGTACTTCCATCTTTCCTGAGCCTTTAGTTTAAAATGTAGTATGTGAAGTTTACTAATGTAAAGTACATTCGTTAAGTTTACATAGTAGCAGAGATAAAATACGAAGCATAGATTCTGTATCAAGAAGTCTGGCTTGTAGAGTCCAAGAGTTCTGGAAATTCAGCATGCGTAACCTACAGTGGGAGTTTGAAATTCTGCATCAAAATAATTTGCTCTGAGCTGATCTGTTCTAGCAATACCTTGCCACAGCAGCAATGACTGTCCTGGCTGCCAGCTCCTTGTAGTACTCTGTTCGCACAATGTTACATCCATAGTGACGCAGGGTGACGTGTTGAGCCTTTGCATACAGAGAACTGATGTCTGTGGATGTCAGCGACACAATTCCAAGATTCCTCACGTTTCTGAAGGCAGAATCCAGGTAATTCACAGAAGTTCCAAATGGGTCCAAATGTCTAAAAAGAAAGCAGGTTGCACTCTGCATTAACCATTTATCCTTCCTTTTAAAAACAAAAATCAACTCCATTGAATTACTCCACAACACTATAGGATTCAGTGCCAAAATTACAAGAGCCGGCGCTTGAATGTGCTGGAAAATACACAGCACTACAAGGTCGGAAAGTGTTTTTTTTTTTTTTTTGCATCCTGATTCCTTCACTAGCTCAAGTGACAAGAATACTGGCCTGACAATTACCTTTGTCCTTAAAAAAAAAAAAAACAAAAAACAAACTGCTAGAAACATTTTATATATATTTATTGAGCACGCACACCAGTTTATGTACTAAGTAGCTAACCATCAGCCTGAATACCTGCTGCTTAATTAGCTCAGATCTGGAGGCTGAACAGTACAAAAACATCCAAGCACTTATTTTGATGTCTGTAGGGTTTTCAATCTCACCTCCACTGAAAACAAATGTGCTGCAAAATGCATTACAGGAAATCAAGTCATGCAATAAGAATTCAGGCCTGTCCAGTAGCATGGAAATGCATGCATTTAAAGTCCATTAGATGCTCTAAGGAAAGAAAAAAAAACAAAACAAACAAAAGCCTGACAAATTTGAGGAGAGAGACTCCTAATCAAGGAATGTACTGGACTTGATCTCTGGAGATCCCTTCCAACCCAAGGTATGAGTTATTGATAACAATTCTGTGATTCTGTGACATGGGATAACTAAAAAAACTTTTCAGATCAAATAAAGGAAGCAGACCTTAGACATAAGAAAGACATTTCTCAATGAGACTGTGAAGCCCTGATGCAGGCTAAGCACAGAAGATGCCTCACCCCTGGAGCTGCTCTAGGCCAAGCTGGATGGACCCTGGGAGGTCTGATCTGGTGGGAAGTTCCCTCACCACAGCACAGTGCTGAACTGGGTGGGCTTCAAGGCTCCTTCCATTCAAACCATCCCATGAGCCTATGATAATGCTTCCCAAAAGACCTTAATGTGCACAGTGAAAACTAGGTTTCATTCTGTGACATTTCTCTTTGTCACATAGGCAATGTACCAAAAAATGTTCAGCTTAAAATGTTCATGCGCATTCATATTTCATTCTGGATGTCAAAAGTCTTTAATATTTTTCCAACAATTTCTAAAATATTAAAAATAATTTTTAATTTTCAGTTTTCATGCGTCTTGCAACTGCATGTTGGTTGCTTCTTTAATTCCAACTTACGCTGGGGCATGAAGTAGGACAAGGAGTATCAAGATCAAAACAGAGAACTTATTAAGAGAAGTATCTAATACTTACATAAAATCAAATGATCTCAAATGCATTATAACATTGGCGTCCATTTTTGTCACCTCAATGGTATCAGTATTTTCTTCTCCATCTCCTAGAGCTTCGTAATAGTCTTCTTCCTTAGCGCTCACTTTCACCTTCATTTTGTTTAAATGGCAGTTTTCCTGAATCATTGTCACAGAATTCTCATTGCAATCATTAATTGTAACTCTGACAGAACTTCGGAGATGTTTTGCCCACTGTAATCCCATTATACCTATGGAAAGACAGAAATGTAACTCCATGACGGAACAAGGGAGCTGGCTTCTGGTTCACCTAACTCAAAACAAACCCACATCCCTTTAAATGCTTATAACACAACAGCATGCTGCAAAGCTTTGGTGTGCTCCTGCAACAATTATCTTGGTGACCTTCTGCACCACTACAGTCACACTGAAGTTTGTGAGAGGATGAAAAGCAGTCTGTCACCTTCTTATACAAGAATTGGGAGTTACAGACCAAAATATGAGTGATGGAGTTAAAAACTGTGCTGAAGACCCTTGGCTTGCTCAGAGCTCCAATACAGCAAAATGCAACTCGCAAATATTCTTGCTGACTTTCAGCCAACTACAGGATTATCCTGTAGAAATGCAGGAGGGGCTGCAGCTCTGAAATTTCACCTGGTTCGGAACAGTGACTAAGTTTATGCAAAATGCTGAGTGGCTACTATTGTTCTCATCTGTAAATTTAGGTTTATAAAAGCAGAGTGATCACAGTGCAGTAGTGCAGCAGCTCAGAGTTTTTCATTTTTATTCCAGAATGCTAGTGGACTCCAGCAGAACAACTTTACAGTTAGTTCAAGTTCAGAATTTGTTATCAATCAGAGAGGATTCAGTAAAGAAACCTGGATACACTACCACTGTTTAACCAAAGGTTGGTTTTACAGCCACCAAGGCTCAGAAGACTCAAGATCTTGATTGCACACTTCTGAAGACAGAATTTCATGAACATTAAGACAACTGTTTTCAAGTACACCACTCAACTTCAATTTAATATTATTTGCAATCATTTTCAAAGGACCTAATGTAAGCTCTTGAAGGTTGTATGTAAGCCAATGACTGTCTGCCTAAGCAAGAAAACAGCATACTCAAACACAACATGACAAGACTGTTACTACTCATTTCTGCAGTTTCATACTATCGGATGTTAACTGAAGATAAAGAGCTTGATTTTACCAGTAGCACCAAATGCATCCAAACATTCTATTGGTTTACGTTCCTCAGCTAAAACAGCCAGTGCACAGAATATCAGTTGCCTGGAAAATTTAAAAATGTAAAAAGCCATTAGAAGGTGATAAAATTTTTTCTTCCTCTTACCTGTTTCCCTTGAGTACCTTCCCAGAACAATGAAGGCAGATCACCTTCTGAACAAAAGAATTGTAAATCAGAAAGCTTAGCTAACACTGAAAGATTAATTTCAGTAGTTAGGTTTACTTTTAACCTCCTTAATGGATACCATGGTGTTTCACATTCAATTTAGTGACTCAGCTAAGCAGAAAATTTCTAAGGTAAGATCCCGAGTCATTTTCCAGGTATCTCAAGTAGAGTTTTTCCTCCTTTCCCAGCACGATCTGAGGTTACCCTATTAATTGCTCTGTATTTGAAAGGAAATGAGGTATTGACCACAAACTTAGCTGGCTTCCTTCAGAAGCACGTCTCAGTTTTCATAAATGTATCTGAACTAACTTTAAGCCTGGAAGCTGGGACATTTACAGCAGTGAGACAAGGGGTCAGCCAGGGTGAAGTCCAGCCCACTGCCTTGGTGGTAATGCTTGCATATTTTACTTGTGAGACACAAATCATTTACGATTTTCCTAAAAAAGGCTTTCCTTCCTTCATCTTTTCTAGAGCAAATACAGGAAGAAACCTGTGAGAATTTGACATCCAAGAAAAAAAAAAAAAAAAAAAAAAAGCCCTAAATAAAGAAGGCCTAGGTACACTGCCCTTCAGTTAAAGAAGAATGATCAGTGAGCAGCGGTGGAATTCACAGAAAAAGATCTCACGTGTACACACAGAAATCAGTTTTCAAGCCTGCTCTTCTTTTAAACTCCTGCTCTTTTGCATATATTTTTTGCAAAGTCTTAGCCGCTTTAGAAATAACAAGACTTCTGAAATAGCATTTCTGTATTTTAACAGTATTTGTCAAGAGCTTACTGATGGAAAACTTTCCAAAATTAACAGAAATGATCCTAGCAGACAAGTTAAAAGCACATCTAAAGGGAATTCTTATTCCAGAAACTTTCTTGTTACTCACAAAAGCTATTTCTCCTCCAAATCAAGCACCCACAGGGTATATTCTTCATAACTCATCGACATTTCACTCTGCAAAGTCACCTACCCTCATTCCTATCTTCCCAATCCCAGTTCTCTCACCTGTTGAGCTTCATTTTGGGATTAAAATAGGAGTCTGTTTTTTGAGGTGTGAAATAGTTGGGAAGAACCTGCACATCTGTGTCTGCCTCTTTCAGCACTTCACAAGATGACTTGGGAGCAGGAGCTGAAAAAATAATTGCAGAGCAAGGAAAAAGTGAGAACAGAAATTCAGATTAGGATATTTGATACATGACATTGAGTTTTTGCTCCCAGGTAACAAACAGTGCAATCATCCAGCTGGCAGACATGGACCAGTTAGTCACAAGAAGGAAGGAAGGAAAAAATAATATATCTTACAGTCTGGAAAGCAGCAGACAAGGCTCAAGCTCTACCATGATTTTCTTGCCATAAAATACAGGATTTGTTTCTTACTTCAGTTCTTCTATATCCACCTAGATTTTAGAAAGTAAGCCCAGAGCCTGAGGCTTATCACATTTGTTCTGTATGTACAAGTAGTATTTGCTAGGTAACTAAAACACTTTTAATACGGCCACGAATGTGAACCATTCAATTCCTTGATCCAATCTCTTTTAAAGAGTTTTCGAAAAGCATCATGAAACTGATTGACAATTTCAGTGTTTAAGTTTTGTACAGACTGTGGTAAAACAGGTGTTCTTCATTTAACAGCTGTAACACTGTCACTCCTCTGAGCAGTTATTCCCCAGTCTAACAGCAGCAAAATTTACCCAGAGATAACCAGGAAAAATGTGGAAGCTTTCAGCCAGAGACCTCTCTCAGTGCACAGCCTGCCCATCTCACAGTGCTTCAAGCATGCAGGCAGCACATCTGAGCTGCTCTGCCATGCTGCTCCATGTTCATAGCCCTCAGCATTTGCTGGTGCCTCCTAAGCACCAAACATCCTCCAAGAGCTTCTCATCTACCCAGCAGGAAAACTACCCACATGCATTTTAAAAGTACAACATTTTTACTAACTGCTCTGAAGGGAATCAAACAGAGATATGATGCAACAGGCAAGAGAAGCCTGAAGTTTCTCATGTCATGAAGCTTCCATGGAAACATGTTCTACTTCTACTTCACAGACATAAAAACTGACACCAGGCATTAAGCTGCTATTCCTAAACTGTAGACTGACAACAAAACTAAGTGTGACCCTCACGTCCTGCTCTTACTAAAACCAGGTAAAATCTATACATCTACAGACAGAAACATCCATACATCTGCACACAGACAGAAACATCCATATGTCTACAGACAAAATAGATGAACAAACAAAAAGAACAAGTTTCAATAGTGAACTGTCTGGGCCATAATGAAAAAATCTTAGTTTTTACACAAAAGCAAAACAATGTACTTTCTGCAAATAAAAGAAAATCTGTGAAAATAAAGGAAATTAAATTAATTAGAGACATCTGGTGTTCCAATTACCTAGAATGCTTTCAGTCTCATTTTTATCCAAGCTTAAAAACAAAAAGTCTAATTCTTGAGAAGGTTAGACAAAATTAAAATCCAAAGAACTTGTAACATCACGATCACAGCTCTCCAGGACTGAATAATAGAGCAGCTCAATTTGTAAACTCCTGCTGATGCCATTTGGTAAAAAACAACAACCACCACCACACATGTATGCTGTAGAAAGATTTACTGAAGACCGATTTAATAACAAACACAGCCAAGAGAAGGAATTAAATTCTCAGTGCAGGTTTTGTTTTAAGGACACCAGGTTCTCCATTGTATTGGAAAGGTAGAAACCTACATTTACAGCACTGATCTGTTTGTGAAGAGCACATTATCCATCTCTACAAACAGAGTAACTGGTTAACAGAGACAAAAACCACAGCATTCCCAAATCTTTCAGGAAAAAACACATTCTGAAAAATTAAGAGCAGAATTCTCATTAGTAAACCCAAGTAATTCTGTTTATGAATTTTTCTCATGTCTGTCATCATAGATAACCCACGCTGCAAAGTATCAAATGTTTTTCAGAATTTACCTGTAATAAATCTTGATTCAGTTTCTCCTTTATTGACATGGCGATTAATATGTCCTATCATATCAGTTCTTCGTGTGATAGTTGCTGAGCAGATGATACAGTGGTAGTGTGCTCCCATCTTTGAAAACGCCTATAACACAAAATGTACTTTCAGAACACATAAATGTGATTCAATTTGGACTCCCGCTAAACACAGGCTGATGAAGAAGTCATCTGTCTTAACTCTACTACGCATAAAACATTGTGAATCTGCAGCCTGGAGACTGCAAATAACCAGACCCACACAGCACACTGTCCTACTGCAGCAACACAGCCCATCCAGCTGCACGACATAGCACACAGGGACAGAGCAGAGAAGCACCCACTGCTTGCTGCCATGACTCTTCATCTCTCCCACAGAGAGCTGCTCTTGCAAGATGTAGGCAGCTGTTCACCAAAACGCCAGAGATGTGACATTCAGCTCCCCACAGGGTTATATCAAGACATTATTCTGGACTGATGCACACCTGGTGTAGTGCAATGGAAAGAAGTCATACTTTTCAGATTAAGGATAGTCTGTAGAAGTTGCTCAAAATCACCCATCTCCCCCATCACATAGGCTAAGAAACACTTCTATGATTCACCACTTTTACCTGATCTGCAACGAAGTTTGGTTTTGCTACACGACAAGGCAAGTGGCAGATACACATTCTGTACCCTATAAAACAAAAGCACGCTACAGTCTGAAAATTGTTTCATTTAATTTAACTTCAGTTTTGCCATACTCTGGATGGTTATATTATTTCCTGCAAACTTGTACATCTTGTTCATTAAGAAACATATGATGCTCACTCTTTTCTTAAAACTCCTTGTAAGGATTTTAATGTATCTTGTAAACAGATCAGAGTTTGGTAGCGTGAAAGATAAGGCTGTAGAATACTTATACTGAATCAATACTTGGAGCAGTTATCTGAACCCAAAGAAATGTTATGACAACGCAAAAAGGACAGCAGGGTGAGGTGGAAATTGCTCTAATATAACCAAAACATTTATTAAAGTAGTTTGCATCAAATAAATGTATTGTATTATCATGACACGTCAAGCACTTTTTTTTTTAAACAAGAAAATGCACAATATGAACTATTTTGGCATGTAAAAAAATGGAGAGCTATTTTACATTTCTATTATGGCAAATAATAGAAAACTCTTATATGGCAAATAATAGAAACTCCATGGCAAAGTAAATGGTCAAGATAGGGTTCTGGTTTAGAGCTGATAAGGTGCCTGAAGCTCATACTTAAGTCAAGAGGAGTTAAAAAAGACCACAGACCAATGTCCTCCACATCTGCCCTCTCTTTTGCTATTTACTGTTGAAAGATGGCTTATTTTACCTTCAAATTCCACAGAAATTTTCCAGTGCAAATTCTGGAGGTGACGATGAAGTTTATGGCCATAGCAGGCTTTAAATTTCTCTTCAGGACACAAGGGACAAGGCTTCTTTTCAGCTGAAAATACCAACAAGGATTATGAAGAGAAACATGTAAAAAGCAGTTACGATGCCTTTTAAGAGAGATGCACATCAAAAAGAGAAGGCAAGTCCAACCAATGGAACTGAAGATTAGTTTCTCAGGATATATATGGATATATATGCAATATATGGATTCTCTTTGCTTTCTACTTAAAGGAATACAAGCAAAAAATATGATTTCTTTCAAGATCATCCTCTTCTACAACAGTCAGTTCCACGTTTTTGACTTTTTTTTTTTTTTTTTTTTTTTTTAAATTTCAGAGCCATTTGATCATAATCTAACTTCTTAACAGCGTTGCAGAGTGAGGGAATTTTACAGACATCCAGAGGCTTACAGTGTTTCAAGAAAACCCAAACAGTGAGAGAACAAGAACCTGTCTTTTATGCTCCTGAGCCTCTGAACATGGCTTTAGGTAAAGCAAGCACCTGGTATCTTTTCAAACTGCAAAAATACTGTACTCAGTGCTAATAATAATCTTCGGGAAATCTTGTTTTTAGAACACTAAAGCAAGTGCAAAGTTGTCTGGCAACAAAGATGTTGAAGCAATCCAAATACATCCTAAGTAAAAGCTGAAGCAATCCAAATACATCCTAAGTAAAAGCTAGCTCCTGGGACACACAGGCTGTGCACTTAGTCTGTGGGAATTACAGACCAGGGCACGCATACAGCTGCCTCTGGGTCTCCTACTGCTGAAAAAGCAACTTCTCATGTAGAATTTAGCAGAAAGGTTTGTAGTGCCACAATACGGGATGAATACTGGAACTTTCTACACAGTGTGGGTGTTGATATACTAATTCCTTAGTCTCACAAACAACAGAATTCGTCTGATATGGCCTTCTTACAAGCAACCTACCACACCCCTGCAGTATCCCATGCCTCTGACACCAGGAGAAGCAGCTAACAGTTGAAATCAAGCATTGCTTCTCCCTAAGGTTGATAAAGCTCTGCTACTGCCACACGTTACTGAATCTCAAACACGAGGTAATGACAATAAACACAAGTCAGTTCATTCACACACAGCAGAAGAATGGTAATTCCATGGCAGAAAGAAAAAACTGACTATTGAGAACAGGCAAGGGAATAGAGTTGCTTTCATTGTTTTTTATTTTCTAATCGGCGCCATGGATTAATGCAGAATTTGGTCTGATAAAAGTTAAAACCCATGAACATCAGACCTAAGAAGAATCTATTACTCATCTCTTCATTAAATACAGAACAACCTAACTTTCTATAGAAACTATTCTCTCGGTATATTTGTTGGTCAAAATAAGCAGCTATAGAAGCAGGCTATTATCAGTGAAAACCCTAGAAGATTATTAAGGCGCAAGAGCTGTATGACGTAGTTTACACACTGATGTTTTTCTTGATCTGTGAATAAAAACGAGTTTCAGGTGCAAGGACTGGCACTATTTATATTAAAGACAGACGTGATCTGAGAAAAAACAGGAGTTGCTAAGAGTTGTAATAAAAATGCTTAACACTCCTAAGCAGTCCTCTACTAAAAAAATGGATCAGAAAAAATGATAAAGTAAGTAAGGAAACAACTGAAACAGAAGATTAAACGCTGTAAAGACAACAATTAGCTTCCCTGATATTGTGGCTACAGTGAGACTAATGAGCCTAAGTGAGACTGAGCTGCTGATGTAAGTATAGCTAGAGTAAACATTCTGCTAATCCATGCATGCTACCAATATTAAAAAAATGCAGAAGAAAAAAAATGCAGAAGAAAAAAAATGCAGAAGAAAAAAAATGCAGAAGAAAAAAAATGCTTAAGGGTATTGATTTACTGAAAGAAGTACAGCAGTTGATAAATAAAAAAAAAGAATAAATATTATAAAGTTATTCAGTAATGAATCCCTTGGTCTCTGAGCATCACAAACAAATGAAGAACAAAACAGATGCAGTGTTTGAAAAATAGCTATTGAGGAAAAACGTAAATACTTGAAACATGAAGATTTGTGGCCTGGGGTACTGCTAAGGTAGACTCACCTTCATTCAGGTCAGCCAGTTTCTCTAGATCAGCAAGTTGTCTTTGAATGGAAAGATGTTTCTCTAAAACAGGAGAGATTCAAAAATTAAATATACTCTTAAAAATGTGTTTTTTATTACTATTTTATTACTTAGTCCATCACTTCAAGCCTACTACTGGAAAAGGTCAATAACACCAAATGGAATACTTGTTTCTATCCTTTAGTTTCCAGTAGAAAGAGTAACTCGCAAAATTAATCCCCAAACTGGTTTTTTAGTAGGATGAAGATATTCTACTTGCTTTTCAATGCTGACACACATCAGAATTCTCCACTTGAAGTGATCTTCATTTGAAAAACTCAAGCTGAAAAGAGCAAGTCACATACTATTTGTCTCTGACTTTTCTACATGCCATTGTTGCTGAATACACAAAGCAGTATCATCCTATGAATGGCCTGGCAAAACTAAAATGGCAGCCAGAGGTGGATAGATTTTAAGTAGTAATTATTTAATATAAAACCAGGACACTTTCAATTCTACCTTTTTTTTTTTTTTTTCTTAGAATGTTTGAGAACATCTAAAACTACCTTCTCAGTTTTCAAATTATCAATGGAAATAGCATAGAATTTGCTAAGCCCAGTAGGATCAGCTTATCCAGTAAGTTCTATTGGTTGCAGCACACAGAACATCTCAGTCTATAAGACCAGTTCTGCAAGGACTTTAAAACTTTTCAATGCTTGTACAACATTAGTCTTTCAGATTTTATTACATGAAATGAAAAGAGCAACTGATTGGTACGCAAAGATATGACAGGGAGCATTAAAGCTGAGGTTAAAATCAACTCCTGCTTCCCCATTTGCGTGGATATTCTCTTGCACTGCTGTCACATGCACTAATTTTGGAAGTGGCTTCCAGAAATCATAGAGAGGATGAAATGGCATTTCACTTGAAAGAAGTTTTCAATACTGTAGGAAAATATTTCATACAGCCACATGGGAAAAAGTATCACTAGCCACCAGATGCATAGAAACTCAACTGCACACATTCCACTTGACTTTCTTACCCACCATTTCTACCTTTTCCTTCTCCCTTGCTCAAACACACTACAGAAATACTCATATTTATGAGCGAACCTCTTGGATAATCAGATGAAACATCCAAAATGTTACTATCGGGCTCCCTTATGGATTCATGCTCTGTTCTTTCTTCTTTGGTTTCTACTTCTGACCTAGCTTTCACAGACAGGTTGTTGTTTTCCACTTTCGTACAGCCAACTTCACCATCTTAGGAAAATCAAACAAATTAAAGTAAAAATGTTATTGATACATCGAAATTGTAATGCTATGTTCATTCGCTTTCAGCCATATTTGCTACTGTAAAAGAGAAAAGTTGTAAAAGTTGTAAAAGAGTATTGGAGAAGAATATTTGAAAGACTACTGCTCACCCTTGGAAACCAGGGTGAGAGGACACCATCCTGGACAGAAGAAACCATTCACTCATCTGTACTATCAGATGTTTGAAGCTAACAGGAAAACGTTGGCATGTTACTGTCTTGCAAAACACAGTGTGAGCAATACAAAGCAGCAAGCAGGAGGTCCAAATACACTTAACTATCATACAGGACTGACAAAAAAAAGTTTGAAAACAGTAGTTAACTGTGGCTAGTTCAACAGTCCGGAAAAAGGAGGCCTAGCAATTGGGGAATTAAAGAAAGAGCAGTAAAGTGCTGGGCCTCAGGGTAAAAGGTAATCTTAACTTCCCATATGAATAGAATGAATGGGTGTGCTGTCTCCTCATCAATACCAGTCGAGATTACTATCTTCAGGTTTTAATACACAGTTTTGACTAAAGGAACAAGTATAAAACCTACTCCAAAAAACAAAAAAAAAAAAAAAACCCCAAAAAAAAACAGCTTAGGAGCTGAAAGAAAAAAGTGTGGAGAACCTGCACATGGAGCAGTACTGCCCCATATCCCTCCACTAAAAACGTGCATAGTCCTAGGAAAGTTTCAGAAAAGGGCGACAAGAAACAATTTTAAGGCATTAGCCTCCTAGCCACTGAGAACCAACAGGACAGGTTAGATGGCTTCTCAGCCCATTTATTTGGTGTAGGGAACCTACTTTGGCAGGGGGGTTGGACTCGATGATCTCTGGAGGTCCCTTCCAATCCCTATAATTCTGTGATTCTGTGATTATGACAGACACCTGTAGAAAAGGTGCAGCTCTCTGTCACTCCTAGCATAACCCAGGATGGATCAAATCGCTGGAATAATCACACCAGAAGATTTCTGCATAAGCTAGTGCTATGCTGCAGAGCTCCCTGCCACTGCCTTCTTCAAGTCTGCAGGTCCCAAAGCAAAAATGTTATGGGAGAGAAATGGCCAGTGAGCTTTTAAACCCAAAGCCATCAGCTCAAGGAAACGATGAACTGCCTGCTGTTCTGTAACAGGAGGCATTTCTGGAGGGTTCATTCAGTCTGTTCATCCTCAGACAACTATTCCCAGCCACGGCTGGTGGCAGAACAAGGGCTGGATGGATCTCGTAGCAGTTCCTAAGATGGTTTCGCTTTTAAAAATTGCAATTCGTTGCAATATTCCCATCCCAAAGAACTAGAAAGAAGAAATTGCAGGAACACCTAAAGACACAGGTCAGGTAAGTTGTTCAGAAAAGGAGAAACGCCCACTAAAGTTGCCTTAAGGAAAACAAACCGGGATCAGCACAGCTCTCAGCATCACTGCAGCGCTGCTGTATTTCTCGCAGACCTATTTGCAAAGATGGAAGATCACCCGATTCTCGCATTTACTTCCCGCCTGCTCATCTATTTAAAAGTCACAAAGCTTTTTCGACACAATTTACTTTTAAATAGAAAGAGCCAAAATCAAATCGCGGGTTTATGTGCGTGTTTTTAAAAGGCGGAACTGAGCGCACGTGCACCACTGGGGTCAGGCAATGAGGGGGAAGGGCGCGCAGAGCAGCGCCACACAGCCGGTCTCCCGGCACGTCCCGAGCACGTGCGGGGCCAAGATGGTCGGGGTGGGCTGCACCCGTGTCAGAACGAGCGCGCTCGCTCCTTCTAGCCGGCCTGCTGACAAACGCACGCGTTACTGAAGTGGGAGTCCAGTTGCTGGCGGGCCCGAGCCGCCGGCCCGCGGCCGAAATCGGGATACGAAGCGGACGGGACCGCTGGCACCGGGCCCACGTGAGACTGCACAGCCCCGGCCCCGCGCGCGGACACACCACCCTCCCCGCCCCCCCGCGTCGAGGTGGGCCGTGGGTCACCGTCTCCGCTTCACGGCCGCCGCGGCTCCCCCCCCCCCCCCTCAACCCGGCGTCCCAACGGCCCTTACTGAGCGCCGCGGCCTCACCACCTCCCGCGGAGCTTGCCCCATTCTCTGCTGCCTCCTCCTCGGCCTCCTGCAGCCGCTCCGCAGACAGCCCAGCCTCCGCGGCCTCCTCCGCTGCCATCTTCTGCGCTGAGAACAGGACACCGGGCCGACCGCCTCACCCGCACGCCTTTCTTTCCCCGGCCGGGCGGGAGGCGGGGCGCACCGCCTACATTTCCCAGAGCACCTAGGTAGAAGGAGGAGAGAAGGAAGAAGGGCCTTCTGGGTTGGAACGGTAGGCTGCTGTTGGAGGTCTGCCCCGGAGGGGTTCGTTTCGGCCTGGCGGGCGGGGGCGGCTCTGCGCTGCAGCGAGGGGGAGAGAAGGGACGCGCTGTGGCGGGGGGACGCCGCGCTCCGGGGGCCCAGCGCATCGCCCGGTGCTTCCCTCAAACGAGAACGGGGCTCGTCGTCCCGGAATGGGCTGCGTTCCGGGAGGCGGCGCGTTGAGTTCTCAGGGCCTGAAGTAACCGGGTGACGAAACTCGCAGCGAACGGAAAGGCTTTCCGGTCTCGTATGCCGTCCGCGCGGTTTGAGCTGGCGCTGATCGCCATCCCCGGCGGCCGGTCCGAGGGGTGCCCAGCGTCGTGGTGGGAAGGAGCCGGGCGGGGTGGGGCGGTCCGCCTGGGCGCCGCGCATCGCAGTGGGCCGAGCCTGGCAGCTGACTGCCTTAGCTCTTCGCTTCTGTCTCGTTCTGCTCTTTGCTTATCGCTAGTAAAAAAACCGTCCTTTAGTTAGCCTGGAAGTGCTTCGGTTATCGCTTCAGTGCTTCGTATCCGAGAAACGTTCTGTCATACAGCAGCGGAATGACGCGTGGAGGTGTTAACTAAAAATAGTTGGAACTGCTGTAGAAGTCTGGGGCCTTGTTGAAGTCACGCACGGTGTTTGCCTCTGTTAGCTTGTTGTGTCTGGTGTGGTGGCAAGGCTCGAGCAGGTGGCAGAGCAGGGAGCTGCCAGCCTTTCTTCTGGGAAGTTCCCCGAGTGAGATGTGGATCCCTGGTGCCCTGCTCAGACTGGCTGTGGCTGTGTAATGTGAAGAGGAAACTAAAGAGAATTTTTTTCTCAGTGCAGTTGCAGTATTTTTTTTTATTATCAGCAGGAAATAAAAATGTGAAGTCATAACAGGAATGCTGTTTCTTTTCTTCATAGGCTTGAAAGATGTCCAAACAGAAACTGAAGAAAATAAAAGAGGACAGTTTGAATGGCCAGGATGACAAAGTAGGATTATCTTCATCATTGTATTTTTAATCGGATCCCCACATGAAAGAGAAGAGTGAATTATTTAGCAGTTTTGTGATGGAAGAATGAATCAATGTTAAAATGAAATGCTCTTCACCAAGAGCTGCAGGAGGGTTGAATGTTCAGATAGCTGCAAGTTCCAGCTGGGTAACTGATCTCTTTTCCTCCAGAGCCCACGGGTAGGATAGGTATCAGAAATTAAGGGATTTTGGTTTAAATTATACTATATCTGTCTGGTGAGGGCTGTTGAGCATGAAACTTACCAAAATTATTCTCCTCTTTGGTTATTCTTTATCTTGTATCAATATATGTTGATTTTCTGATTATTTACAAATTGCACTTTTTAGCATCTTAAAAAGCAACTTTCAGATACTTCTTCTTAACAACTGAGATACAAATCAATTATTAAATTTAGATCTAGGTTATTAGTACTTGATATATATCTGTATAAAACACATTCGCTACCAGTCTGATGCTTTCCTGTGGCTTTGCTTCTTTTTTTTTATTGCTTGTATACGCTTCTAGAAAGTTGTTTTCTGCAAATAATATATAACCAGTAAATCAGTAGTTTAATAAGTCCAGTTTGCTAAGTCTTTCTGTCTAATTTTGCAAAGCATATATGAAATGAGAGAGCTTTTAATTATCTTAATATGAATGTTTCTAAAAAACGTTTGCAGGCAATGTAGATGAATGTGATATGGTAGATTTAATAACCTGAGTTACACACATTAAAAGCTTTTTGCTCATGTAGAAAATACAGCCAAATGTTCATACCTCCTTTTCTTCCTGAATTCCTCATTATTATTTACAGTATCACAGAATTCGGCCAGGCTTGGAAGGGGCCTCAAGAATAATGAATCCCCAACCCCCTGCCTCATGCAGGGCTGCCACCTTTCCATTTAATACCAGCCCAGGCTGCCCAGGGCCCCATCCAACCTGGCCTTGAACACCCCCAGGGATGGATGGGGCATCCACAGCCTTTCTGGGCAGCTGTTCCAGCACCTTACCACTCTCTCTGTAAAGAACTTCCCCCTGACATCCAACCTAAATCTTCCCTCCCTCAACTTAAAACCATTTCCCCTAGTCCTGCAGTTATCTACCCTGTCAAAGAGTTGACTCCCCTTCTGTTTGTAGGCTCCCTTTAGGTACTGAAGGCTGCAATGAGGTCACCCCACAGCCGCCTTTTCTCCAGGCTGAACAAGCCCAGCTCCCTCAGCCTGTCTTTGTAGGGGAGGTGCTGCTGATCATCTTTGTGGCTCTCCTCTGGACCCTCTCCAACAGCTCCCTATCTCTTGTACTAGGGGCTCCAGACCTGGACACAGTATTGCAGGTTGGGCCTTACAAGAGCAGAGCAGAGAGGGACAACCACCTCCCTGTCCCTGCTGGCCACCCCTCTGCTGATGTAGCCCAGGATTCCATTTGCTTTCCGAGCTGCAAGAGCACACTGCTGGGTCATGTTAAGCTTTTCATCCACCAGGTCTCACCCCATAAGAAGGGGACAGCCCAGAGCCCCTTCAGCTCTCCCACATGGCAGAGGGCCCCACACCAGGATTTCCCCTTGAGCAGGGACACTTGTCAAAGTAGTGATTATTTAATCCTAGAGATTAAAAAAAAAAATTCTTATCCACAACAAATACTTGGTGAGTGACTAATGGCTGGCTTACTGTGTAGTCTTAGCTAAGTAATAAAAAGGATTGATGGTGCATACAATCCTTTAGAGATAACTGTTGACCAAGTCTTGGAGTGAGCTGCTCCCATACTCCTCTGGGAAGGTGTCAGGAAGGCAAGGTGTTTGACTCTGAGTCTTGTGACTCATAGCAAGGTCTTCCTGATGATTTTCATCTGATTCAATCCTCTGTGCAATACATAATCAAGCATGCCATGCAATTGAACCTTGATAAAGCACTGCCATTTTTACCATTGAGCTCCATTAAGTCACTGTCTCGTGTCAATAAAGCGCATTACTACTTCCTTCGTATGAGTGAAGGGCATAGAATGATAGAATGGCTTAGGTTGGAGAGAGCCTTAAAAATCATCTAGTTCCAACTCCTCTGCCATGGGCAGAGCTGCCAGCTGCTAGATAAGACTGCCCAGAATCTCATCCAAGCTGGCCCTGAATGTCTGCAGGGATGGAGTATCCACAGGCCTCTCTAGGCAGCCTGTGCCAGTGTACCACTTGTCTCTGGTAGGTGCTGCCACCATATGTGAAGACTATTCATGTACAGTATGTTCCAGGGCTGATTCCTAAGGACTGCTCAGTGGTTCCCATACTGGGCAAGCTGAAGGGTGGAAAATTAAAAACAGGAGTTTGGAAAAAAGGATTATGGGAAAAACTACATTTAGTAACACTTCTCCCCTTTGGGCCTTGAGGCATGTAGCTGTCTTTTTCAAGGTCAGCTTATTCAAAATCACTGTGATTCTAATGTGAAATAATAGCTTGTTCTGTCTTGTGAAGAGTTTGTTACAGCAATTTTCTCTTGGGCTTTTTTTCTTTCTTTCAGAACTCTGAAGTCACAAAGTCGTATAGTCAAACTGTGGACAGACAGACAGAATTTCAAAGGTAAATTCTGTGGCATTAAATATAACTACCATTGGATTGTTTTGAATACTGAATTTAAGAATTTATTGTTTTCTATTTTTGTTTTCAGTAAATAAAATATGGCAATTTAACTGAAGTGTTGGCATTGCACTAATGAGTAGATTTATGGGTGGATTCTGCCTGAACTAGTCAGTTTGAGGTTGTTGAGAAAACAGGATTCAAACAATTTTAAACTATAAAGTATACCATTACACTTCAAATAAAGTAGGAATAGTATCCTTCCAACACTACTGTTATAAAAAGCCTTTTTTTTTTCCTGCCTTGAGCAGTACCTTGTTGGTCTGTACCACATATTTCATGTTCTGTTAGCAAAATGTAGGCTACTTGAGGCAAATAAAGCAACCTTTCACCTTAAGCATAGCAAGTGTAAAAAGTATTTGAAAAGTAATATAGAGTATGAATGTTCTTATGAATCCTGAGATGGTAAAGCTTTGGTCTGTTTCTTAATCATGGCAAAATCTTGTTGCATATTTGTCAGGACATTCAAGTTATCTGTTCTACAGGCATTTCTTAAATGGCCTTTACCTCTTCAGCACTTCCATAGTACTGTTATAGGGCACGGAAGTAAGTGTCAGGGGTATTTTACACCTAGTGTCTGATAAATTTAATGAATATTTTCTCTGGTTTTATAAGAAGTAATTTCTTATTCAGTTTTCATATCATGATTCCTGTAGAAAGTTTATGTATTTCCCTCAGTTGTTCCTTTTCCAAGTTACTCAGTCTGTTTATTCTGCCCTATTTAAGGGCCATTAAGTGCTTGGCAGTGTGTGACCAAGCCTAACTGCTGCATGCTTGATCTTTAGGGTGATACACCCTACATATAATTAAAATGCTGTTAAAATTCATCTGTGTGTTAAGATGAGAATAAACTGTAAAAGGACATCTCTCCAGGTAGTAAAATACAAAAAAAGCTTTTTCTTATTTTGGTACTTTGAAATGGCTCTACAGCCAAAGATGTAAATAATGAAAGCCCTACAGCAAGCTTCATAGAGGACAGATGTTGCAAGTTCTTGTTTAAATATACATCAAAGTGGTACCCATAAATATGCAGTTATTACTGCCTAAATCGAAGGCAGTGTTTCTTGCTGTTTTTTTCTTGTATTATGTTAACTGAGCTAGATTACATGACTTCTTTTTTTTTTTTTTTTGGTAAAATTTCTATAGATTCAAAACAGAGAAAGGCAGACAAGAGAAGAAACAATACCGAAGTTCTAATACTTGTGCTGATGGACAATCCCAAGGAGAATCTCCAAATGGAAGCAAAACCACAGCTAATTCTTTAATCAAATCTGAAAAGCGAAAGAGAATAGTTATACAATTTAAATCCAAAGAAGCTAAACATGGAAAAAGTACAG